ATACTTTTATAAATATGTATACAAAGAACATAACAAGGTTGTAATTGAAGTTATTAACAATGATGAAATCAAACAGTACCTTGATGCCTGTTGAATTTTTACTTCAGAAGTTTGCTGGAAAGTATTTAGTTTCAAGATGAATGAAACTTACCTTTTAGTTTACAGATTACAAGTTCATCTTCTACAATATCAAATCATTAGATTCTCTAATAACAATAATATCACAAATATTCTTACAAATGAACAAAACCAAAAAACTATACTTATGGAATACTTCATATAAATTATATTGACCCGGAACTAAGTAATTACCTATATCTAGAATTTCTTCAGTACTATGTCTGAAATAAGATATATAAATAATGAATAAAATGGAAATCTGATAATATTATTAAAAAAATATATACTGTAAATTTATCAGAAGAAAAATGTTATTACTTTCGAATCCTTCTAAATTATATCAAAAGTATAACATGTTTTAATGATCTCAAGACTATAAATGGAACTTTATATCTAACATTTAGAGAAAGTACAGAACATCATAGATTTCTTGAAACAAATAATAAATTTAGACAATACTTAGTAAAAGCATATTAATTTGACATATTGCATGTTCTATACCAATTATTTGTTACAATTTTGATCTTTTGTAAACTAAATAATATACGATATTACTATTTTTTTTTTGTTCTCTTCATTATTGTCATCACATTTTTGCTCTCATTTTTATTTATTACATCCTGTTACTTTTAATTTTCATCTATATAATTTTTTTTTTAATTGTTACCATCTCTTTTTTTTTCTTTTTTTTCTTTTTCTGTAATTACTTAGTAATACTTATTACCACTTACCTTCACTTATCCATTTATCTTGTACTACTCATTTCATTTTTGTCCTTTTCACTATCTCCTCTGTCCTAAATTCACCTTAAAAATCTTGATTTTTTATTCTCTTTCTCTATTTATATTTATAATTTTTTTCAGTTGCATCTGTTACGTGTCATGTGATTTCTAATATACTACAGATTGTAGATTCTGCGGTCTACTATAGATTAATATGGAAAATATCATTTTGCTTATATGGTAATCATTCTTTTTAGTAAAAGACCACTCACCAAGGTGAAGATGTAAATGTTTTGAACTGTTACTACCTTCATAGTGGTCAAGAAGTTAAGCAAGACTGGAATTAAGTCTATTTTATTATTTTTTTTTTTTTTTTTTTTTTTTTTTTTCCTTTATCATGTAATCAATTGATAAATTAATTTATATTTTTAGAATAGAATTGGAACAACTATAAAAATAGTTTTAATTTTTCTTTCTCGAAAATAATTAATGATAATAATAATTTTTGAATAGTTAATAAAATTATCTTTATGAATTTTAATTAATCCTTTAATAGTTTTTGAGTAAAAATAGAATAGATTTCTTTACTTTCTTTATTTCTTCTTATACTTTTTTTACTTTTATTTAATAAATTTTTATTGTTATCTATAAATAAATTATATTTATGCTTATTTCTCTTCTTGTATCTGTTTCTAAATTATAAATAAAGTCTATATTATATAATTCAGAATTTTAAAACTTTAAAATAAATTATTGATCTTTATTTCTTCATTCAACTGTCATGTGACTTAACCAGAATTCACTTTTTTCATTCTTTAAATTCATCCATCCTTTAAATTCTTATCAAGTTCTAATGAAACTATTTCATTTTGTTTTTTATTTTCTTTAGATTAGAATTTACCATATTTTCTCTTCTCTATATTTACCATTCTTTCTTTGTAATTATTCCAATTTACCTTCTTCTTTGTTTTTCCTGAATTTCTTTATTTTTGTTATCCTATAGTATAGAATATTAGTTACTTTAATATTATTTGTCTTTCCATACTCTCAAAATCTACTGATAACTATTAGGCTAAACTCAAGCACTTGTTGTACTAGCCCCCTCATTCTCTCAACAAGTAGTATCAACAAGATCTTTGAGATGAAAATTATTTTTACGATGTCAAAAGACTATGTCAAAAATAAAATTCCTGAAAGAAACTTTCATGTTAATATTGTCTTTAATGATATTAATTGTCTTCTGGAATAGCATCACAAAATAATACTTGATTATAATTTACTAAAGATCATATTTGACTATAACTATTTGTCTAATCTGATTTTTGAAGAGCTTAAGACTCCTATTTCTTCTGAAGACTTGAGTGATAGTTAGAAACTAAACAGTGATTAAAAATCTATATTTGATAAAATCTTATAATACATAAAAAAAAATTAATCTAGTTTTTTTTTTATAGATAGTTCTGAAGAAACTGGTAAAACATATCTATACTGTTGCATACTTGCACCCATTGAATTCCAAGGTTCTACATTAGGAAATTTAATTAGGTATAGATTTATGGAAGTATTACATGACCTCTGAAAATTTACACCTGAAAATTTTAATTTTTTAACTTCAGTTGAGATTTAAGTGACAAGGAGCGATTTTCTACTAAGATATTTTTAATATAGATCGAAAGTTCTGGTTTTTGACTACAAGATGATACGTGTTTCGTTACTATAGCATTGATATTCGTGGAGAAATTCACATTTAAATTCAAATGTCCATGAAAATTTATATCATAATTTTTCTGTAAATTTTCATAATTCTGCCAGAAATTTTTATTACATCACAAAAATTTCCAGCAGAATTATGAAAATTTATGGAAAAATTATGACATAAATTTTCACGGACATTTGAATTTAAATGTGAATTTCTCTGCGAATATTGATGCTATAGTAATGAAACACATATCATCTTGTAGTCAAAAACCAGGGTTTTCAATTTATCTTAGAAATATCTTAGTAGAAAATTGCTCCCTGTCACTTAAATCTTAGCTAAAGTTAAAAAATCAAATTGTTCAGATATAAATTTCCAGAAGTTATGTGATATTTCCGTAAATCTATACCTAATTAAATTTCTTGATGCTATATCAAGCCATATAACAGAAAAAATTTTTGTATAAATAAAGTTTTGCAAATACAAATAAAAAAATTATAAAAAAAGATATAAATTTTCGAAAATTTTTTAAAGTGTTAAACTTTCAGAAATTTTTGAACAAATATTTTTATAAAAATTGTAAAAATTTTCAAAAATTTTTTAAAGTATTAAAATTACAGAAGAAAACACCTGTAATATTACAGAATTTTCATGTTTCAATAATTTTCAAAAATTTTTGAAAATTTCTATAATATTACATAAAAAATTACGGAAATTTAATATCATGTCAAAATTACAAAATATTATGTTTAAAAAAATTTCCTGATGTGATAAACTTTAGTAATATATCAAAAATATTATAAATATTTTAATTATTTATAAATTTCATTAATTCTAAATTTTAGATGAAAATTAATATAATATTTTGATATCTCTTAACTGTCAATAAATTTTAATCAAAATTCAGAATTTCTAAATTTTAGCTAAATTTATAAAAAGTTTAATTTAGATTATAAATATTATATAATATTTTGACTATTTATAAATTTAGTTAAAATTTAAAAATTTTGAATTTTGACTAATAGTTGAAGGATATTGAAATGTTATATTAAATTTTAAATTTTAAATTTTAGTTAAATTTATAAGTAATTAAAATATTATATAATATTTTTGACCTAAATTTGACTATTTATAAATTTAGTCAAAATTCAAAAAATTCATTAACAGTTGATAGATATCAAAATATTATATCAAATTTTAATACAAATTCAGAATTTTCAAATTTTAACTAAATTTAAGTCAAAAATATATATAATATTTTAGTTTAAATTCAACTATTAATAAAATATATTGATATATTAAATTGTTACTAAAATATTATATTTTTAAAATAAGTATTTTGAAAATAATTTAATAAATTTAATATAACAAAATATTATATTAAATTTAGTACTAATTCAGAAATTCTAAATTTTGATCAAAACTTAAAGTTGAATTTAAGATGATTTTTAAGTTTTGATCAAAATTTTATTGATAATCAAATTTGAATTAAATTTTTTGAAAAAAGTTAACTGAATTTTGTGATTGCTAAAAGGTTTTATTTTAACTAGTAAATATTATATGATATATTATTTTTTTTTGAATTACAATATATATCACATTTATATCACAACAATTTTAATTGATATTGTATTTATAATAATATCTTTTAAAATTTATTATAAAAATTTTAATTGACATTGTATTATTAATAATATTATTCAAAGTTTATTATAATAATTTTAATTGACATTATACTATTAACAATATTTTTCAAAGGTTAATATTTCTATTTGATTTATTTCATTTATACCTGTTATCCAAATTCCAAATAATTTGAAATTTTGAATGTCAAAATTCTATATTTATAGTATTTGAAATTTTGACAAAATTTACTAGTACTAATATGAAATTTGAAATTTGAAATTTTGGTATTTGGATTTTGAATTTGGGCAGCAGGTATAATCTTATTATATAAATAAAAATTTTTTGTTTATTTTCAAAAATAACTATTTATTCTTTCTAATCAAAACAAAATACATTTATTATATCTGTCAGAATTTAACAAGAGTTGTCTTAATTGTAACCATAATAATAGTAGATAAAAATTCATGTTACACAAATGATAATTAATACGTGACATGTCACATGTCATGTATAAATTATCACTTGTTAATAGTATAGTTTTACAGTATAATTGTTTTATATGGCTAGCCAAGAGTCATGAGGGAGGAATAAAGCACGTTTAAGTATACCTTTACTTAGTAAAGAAATGTTCCACATGAGTTCATGTCACTAAGAAAAGGAGTGATGAAAAAGTTTAATACAAAAGTCCAACAATTTTATTAGAAATCATCATTTGCTTAAAAAGAATTGTTGGATATAACTGAAAATATTAATATTCCAACATCCAATATTTAGCTTATGAATTATCTTTTAGCATAACATGAATAAATATATCTATTTATTTAAAATCATTTGCATTACTCTTCATCTATTTCCATCCTTCCCATTTCTAGCCTCAAATTTTCCAATTCAATTTTTTCTTCCTTTAGCTTAGTCAATATTTGCTGAGATTCCAATACTATTGATGTAAAATTGCTTTTATATGTATTCAATAATTCACGTCTATAATATTTTATATTGTTATATTTTTATTTTTAAAATTTAAAATCAATTATTTCATAAATATTTCGTAATTATTTCATACTTGCGTTCAAATTGCTTTTCTAAACCTTTAGACAATTTTTTTTCATTCTTAATTATTATGTTCTTGGTTGTTTGGTACAATGCAATGTCATTTTGTTGAAATTGTTTAAAGATAGTCTAAAAAAATAAATAAATAATATTACATTATTATTATAATTTTGCATTGGAGGAGAGTTCTAGAAAATAAATTCACCTCGCCAACTAATTTTAACAAATTTCTTATTTCCTCGTCCAAACTTTCATCTGTAAATTTCCGAATTTCATCAACAATAACATTGGATGTATGAGGTAGGTCATTACCTGCGATTAGGGTATTATCATCATCTGTTATATAAATTTGTTCGTTCTCTCGTTCTTTAAGAACTTTATTGTTTTCAGGGTTATTTGTTGATAATGATTTAATATCTTCAATAGTGGTTGAGCTTTCTCTTGAACAAAGAATATAGTTATCCATAATAACTGGAAAAATTTTTATTATATAAATTATAAATATGTGCATTTTACAAATTTATTATTAAAATTATTCTTGTAAATATATAAAATAAATACCATCCTGTCTTGAAATTTTATCATCATCATCGCTTCCTGAATGCTTTGACAATGCTTGTAATCTTTCTATAAAAGAAACTATCGTTGTGTGTAATTATTATTTAAAAATTATTAAAAATTATTTTTAAAACTGTCATCATATTAAAAAATTACCATGTTTCCCATTTTTGTCATCAGAAACTGCTATAAAATTTGAATAATAATATAATAATAATAATATTATTATTAAATGGAAATTCTTAATGTAGAAAATGTAAAAAATTATTTATATTACAATTCTGACAATTATTTTGTCTCGGTTTCCAAAATTCTTCTTCATCGCTTATCACTACACTTGTGTCATAGTTAACCTTAAAATTTAAAAATGATGTAAATGATGATAAAATATATAAAAATAAAATAAATGAATAAAAAGATACCATATTTAATTTATTTCTTCCTCTTTTCATTACACGATAATTATCACTTTCTAATTTCGGATATTCTTTTTCATCGTAATCTTTCCGTTTTTCTTTTTCAAGACTGATAATACTTTTATTTATTTTATTTATATTTGTTATTCCGGATTTTTGCTGAAGTTGAACTTTGACGTCGTCATAGTTCATCGATTCTTCTCCAAACTGGTCATACCTTGTATCTTCATTATGAATTTGATTCGAAATAAAGTTTTTAGTTTGGATTCTCTTCATGTCATTATGTCTTCGATATGAACCTTGAGTTTCCTCAATATGATCGTCTTCTTTTTTAAACAATCAAATATATAAAGAATTAATAAAATCAACTATAATAAAATGTAATCAATTATATTGAAGAAATTCATATTTACCGTGTTGCCATTTATCACAAAGACTTTGCTTATAATTTGTCAAGTTTATTGAATTTTCTTCCGTCAATTCGATATTATCTTCTTTAAGTGATATTTTATCGGCATTGCTTTTTTCAAGCATTAAATTCGCCAACTTTTCATTGATCATAACGTTAATATTTGTAGTAACGAAATCATTATTATTACTACTACTATTATTATTATTATTATAATCATTATCACAATCATTATCGATTTTTTGGATTTGTTTGGAAGCCGATAGATTTAATGGTTTTATTCTCTGCTTTGGTGGAAGAAATGCATATCGACGATTAACATCGTAATCAATTTGCATTATTGATGTGGGTGAAAATGATGATGACGAATACAAAGAAGATGGAGTTTTTGTATTTGTTTGAATTCTATCAGGTGAATTTATAATATTATTATGCATCTGCGATGTTATATCTATTAAGTTAGGGAAACTAGGTAATTCATTTTCTTTTGAAATGTTGTTTATTTTCCAGTCGTTTCGTTCATATATGGGTGGTTTGACAGTTTCCAAAGATTTTGATGATTTTGACATATTTTCGAAATTAGCAGCAGTTTTAGAGAACGATGAATGTAATTCAAGAGATAAAATATCATTTGATTGCTTTGATTGTTGAGTCTTCTGAAACTGAATAAATTTGTTAATAAAGACAATCAATAAGTAATAAAAATTATTTAATAATCGAAATTATAATTTTTTACCACTTGTCTATTATCTAATATTCTCTTTATATCATTTATACAATTATCTTCGTGTGAGTCAAATATCAAATTAAAAACATATTCGTTCGACAAATTTTGATCTATGAGCTTCAAAGGTTCTGAAAGATATATTTTTAAGATTTTCTCTAAATTGTAGTATATTTAATAATGTTTTATACGGAAATATATATATATATATATCAGACACATTCATAAATATCAAAAATATTTATATCAAAATTATTTATTTGTTTTACTTATATATAATATTTATGTTTACCTCTAAGTTTTGTTGGTTTTACCTGAATGTCCCAACAAGATATATTAGAATATTTCATTTCGATTATTTCATTTTCATTCTCCTAAATTAAATTAATAAAAAAAAAAAATTCGATTTAAAGAAAAGAAATATATTAAATATCAAATGTAAAAAAAAATAATAATTATTAATTATTCGTACCTCTCTTGACTTAACTGTTATGGATATCGTGTATTTATTAAAATCCACAAAAAACCAATTCTGACCCTCGGGATGATGTAAATCTTTTTGATTATATATTATACATGATATCCTGAATGTCTTTGGACTTTATCAATTATAATATTTTAAAATATTAATAAAATACTAATTATTTCAATTATTTCAAGAAATCTACGTACGTATTAGTTATTCCGTCATTGTTCTCATTTTGTGCGTTCAAAAAATTTCTGGAATCCTGTTAATCATTAAAGAAATCAAATTAACTGTATTCGAATTATTAATTTAATAATATAATGATTTTACCTCGAAAAATCCGTTGGCAGTTATTTCAAGAAATTTAGGGATCATATCTCTGTAAACGAAGAAAGCTTTATTTGCGAATATTTCACGATTGTCTTGTATCCTTGGACACAGTCGGAAAAGAATTTCTAAGTGACGAAGTTGTAGTTCATAATCTAATAGAAAAATTGAATATGTTTCATCAAATTGTTTTTTAAAAAAAAAAAATTTAATTATAATTTGAATGACTTTTCTTTTTGACATACCCTCTGCTGATATCATAGATGAAACAAGTTCTAAACTGTTTTTGAAATTGAAGAATTAAAGAATAACTACTTTACATGCTATATAATTGTGAATAAATATCCTGTTCTATTTTGTTATATATTGGATACACATTAAGAAATTGATCTTGACTCAATAATTTTTTGTTATCTTTACATCCTGTTAACAAAGCATTTATGACATCCGCAGACTAAAATTAATAAATCCATTTTATTTATCATGTTCGTAATATTCGTAACGTAAAAAAGTAATTAATTTGATTATCAACATACATTTCTTCTAATGTCAATTGAAATATTCGATTTTAACAAAATTTGAGAAAGTGATTTAAGACACAATTTTCCAAATTCTCCTCGATCTTTTAATTCAAATAATACTTAATATTTTAAATATATAACAACAATGATAAAGTACAAAATAAATATATAGTTCACCTGCGCCATTAATTTGTATGATTTTCTTTATTATTAAAAAAGAGTGATAAATTGTTGATTAAATCCAAAATATATTTTGTTTTTGATTAATTGATTACTTACTTCGATCAATGAAAATGAATCAAGTGCAACTTTCTCCCAATGATCATTTTCATCATTCTTTTTATGAAAATTCTCAAGAAGCTTGCTTTCAACGATAATCAAAATGATATTATTCAATATATCGATAATTTTCTTGCTGACATCTTTAATATCTTGAAACTCATCCAGCAATTTATCCAGAGAAACGATCACGTGTTGATAAACCGTTAAATGAACATCATAAAAATATTTTTTCTGAAAAACAATAATAAATATATAATAAATAAATAAAGATAATAATAATAATAAATAAAGATGATAATAATAATAAATAAATAAAGATGATAATAATAATAAATAAAGATGATAATAATAATAATAAATATAATAATAAAAAAAAAAAACATTTTAACCTCATTGTTTAACATTTTTAATAGTGTTGTTTGGAGTATCTTTTGTAATCTAGAATATAATTATATTATATGTATTAATTATTTATTAATTATATATATATTAATTATAAATTCTATATTTTATTTAAACTAACTCTTTAACAACATTCGAGTTTTCTTTTTTAGGCGGTCTTCCACGTTTTTTTCTTTCATTTTCATTTTCAACTGACTTTAATCTAACAAATTTGTCAAGATTATCAAGAAATGTTTGCAAATTATAAGAATTTGAATTCGTCATTTTTTATGATCAAGTTTGAAATTTGGGAATGGGAATAAATAAAATATAGAAATCTATAAAAATATATAGTGTATAATTTTTATACTCTCATCACTTTTATCACTTTTATAATTAACAATTAATATTTTAATTATGACCGTTAAATACTAAATAAAAAAAAAAAAGTAGATCACGACGCGAAATTCCTCTTCTTTTCAGTTTGTTTGATTAAACTTTAGTAGTAATATAGTATAAATTAATAAACTTTTAAATTCTATTAATTCAGATTATAGATTAACTTATATAACTTATATTAATTTATATTGTACTGTTTTGTAATTTGTCTCAAATGAAACAAAATCTGTTGTTTAATAAATTGTTTTAATCACTCAGACAATTTTATTAATTTTATTCTTTCTTCTATGTCTTCTATGTGTTCTGATGTGGCTAAGTATGTGCAAATTATATTTGTCACTTTATAATATTTGTCACCTTTAATTAGTTATTCTTGTCATATGATTTCAGAGAAGAACAATGAATATTTCTAATGTAAGACAGTTATTTGTTCAAGTGATTGAAGACAATTTAGGAATTGTCACTTATTTAAGCAAAAATAAACATCAATCAGTTAACAATCAAGTTATTTAATAATTAATTAATTCATTCATTGTTATCTAGAGGCAACTAGAGATATTATATTGTTACCTCAAGGATGACTTTACCTTTTCATTTACTTCTATATTCTTTGTAATCAATTCAATAAATAAAAATGCAAGAGCAACCCATAAGAAAATCTTGTACTTTGATCACATGATGCCTACTCTACCAGTATAATAAACTTGTCAAATCCGACGAATTCCGACAAAGTGTCACATTCTAAGGAGACAACATTACCTTCCTTTTTCAACTCCATCTCTTGCTTTAGTCCTTTGCACATACTTTTCGTGATTCTTTTCATTTCAATTCTTTTCTCGTGACGTCCTTCATAGTTTGTGTCCTATCCCAAATGTTCTTTCCTTAATTTCTGAACCTGGTTGTGGCACTCCCTTGAACAATCCATATATATATATATCTGTACTTTAAATTATAATAACGTCCTTATTTTCTAAAGAGTTAATTCTTTTTTGACACAACCATGTCGAGCGAAACGAACCCTATAGAGACCTCGCCTATCGGCTCTTCTGTTACTACTACTGAACATTATAATGCTTCTGAATCAACGTCCTTCAATTCCGCTTCTATCGATGCCTCCAATTTATCTCAAGATGATTCAATTGAAAAGCAATCTCGCAAGAAGCAAAATCGTCAAAGTTGGAAAAGTTCACCCAAAGTTGAAAATAAAGAAGGAAAAGGGAACAAGCATGCTTCCGATGACAATGGAAACGACAATGATGAAAAAAGGAAGAAAGAAAAGAAGGGGATTAAAAACCGTATGACCTCCATAGATGGGTCTGATCAACTAAAAAGTAAAGATGCAGAACAATTAGATGTAATTGATAATAATAATAATAATAATAATAATAATAATAATAAACAAAATGTTATTCAACATCAACGTCGTAAGTCAACTGCTAATACTCCCGACCTATCAAACAAGAATAAAAATTCCAATAATAATAATAATACAGAAAAATCCATTCACCGTCGCGGTAAATCAATGGCCAACGTCGGGGAACTTCAAGGTACTACATCTAAAAATGGTGGTGGTAAACCTAAAGGCAGCAAGGATGATTCCGAAAACAAGCCCGATGCATTAGAATCTTTACAACAAACGATTGCCATTCTTAAAACTTTACCTGTTCCATCTAAATCTCAAAAATCTGATAAAAGGGAGGATGAGGTTTTTTCTGACAACACTTCAAAACATAAACGCCATGAATCGAATACATTAGGTGTCGGAAAACGGTCCAATGTTCCCGCAAAACAACATAAAAAGGGTGCTTCAGTATCTTTCTCTTTTCCTTTGACAACAGCAGTAACCGCTTCGTTAAAACCAATTCCAGACTCCGAAGACGGTAGACCGATGGATATAGAAAATGCGCTGCAAGATACCATTTCATCCTTGAGACGTATGAGTCTTGACAGTAAAGCTCAGAAAGAGAAAGAAGCTGAAAAGAAAAAAAATGAAGGTGAAGATGGTGAGACTGATGAAGAAAAGAAGGCTCGACGTAAAAAGAACTCAAATAACCGTAAGTCCCTTAATCTAGATGACGCTGCTCAAACTACCGATAAAAAGCAAGAATTGGACTCTCCCAAGTCCCCATTTGACTTTAAGAAAACCTCCGATGAGCAACAACAGTCAACTCCTAAGAAAACCCATCGTCGACATCAATCCCTTGGTTATACTTTGTCGGCTGCTTCGTCTTCAACAACAGTTGCTAAAGTTAATATACCTACACATAATCGACGACACAGCGTAGCTCTTAATGGTACCAAAGATATTTTGAAAGAAATTGAAAAGAGTCAAGGTAGATCCGTTGGGGCTGACGTAAAAGGTCATCGTCGTGGAAATTCCAGAAACTTTGAAAGTAACTGGCGGTCAAGTAAGTTGTAATTTACATTAATAATAAACGGGAAAATTAAATATTAATAGTATTAGCTTAATCCAAAAAGTTGAAATTCAACAAAACATGTGTCATTGGATTCTTTTAAAAATAATAAATGTAATGCATTTAATGCATTTTATCATCCCAATAATACTCAGCTGCCTCACCCCTTTCTGCCTTAGCTCAACCATTCCAACCATTCACATTGCCCAGATTTGGCGCGATCCAAAAGAAACAACAAAATCCACAAAATTCCAACAATCAACAACAAAGAAAGTCTTTATTTGCTCCCTACCTTCCGCAAGCTTCACTTCCTCCACTTTTAAAATCATACCAACTTGTATCTGGTGTATTACGAATTAACAAACGTAATAGATCTGACGCCTACGTTACAACAGAATCATTAGATGCTGATATTTATATCTGTGGTTCTAAGGATAGAAACCGCGCATTGGAAGGCGACGTTGTTGCAGTTGAATTATTAGATCCGGAGAAAGTTTGGCAGACTAAAAGAGAAAAAGAAGAGAAAAAAAGAAAGAAAGAAGAAAGTTCCGGAATTGACAAAAAGAAGATTGACAAAAAGAAAGATGATGTTGAAGTTGAAGGTCAAGGTCTTTTACTTTTCGAAGATGACGATATCGTCACTGATGAACAAAGACCCAAATATTGTGGTCACGTAGTGGCAGTTATGGAAAGGATGCCAGGACAACTTTTTTCTGGGTAAAAATTTATTTTTATTATTTTTTTTTTTGGTTAATTCACTTTTCTTAATTTACCTGACTTTACCATATAAATTTGTTTTTATAATATGAAGTACTCTTGCTCTTCTGAGACCTTCCTCTACCGCGACTAAAGAAAGAGAGGCGGCCGAAAAAGCACGAAGAGAGGCAGAAGAAAGAGCTGCTGGTATTGAGCCTAAAGTAGAGGAAATACAAGATAAAAAAGATGAAAGAATCGAACGTCCAAAGATCGTTTGGTTTAAACCGGTATATTATTTTTTCATATCTTCTCAAATTCGCATACTATGAGATATTAAATATTTATTTTTTATTTTCATTATTAGACCGATAAACGTGTTCCTTTGATTGCCATTCCAACCGAGCAAGCTCCATTAGATTTTGTTGAATATCATCAATCTTACTCCCAACAATTGTTTGTTGTAAGTATAATTACACCTAAAGGATTTTCTAGATCTTTATTTTCTTGAAATTTTATCTAAAATGCTGTTTCGATCCATAAAGGCTTGCATCAAACGATGGCCGATTACATCTCTCCATCCTTTTGGTACACTAGTAACTCAGATCGGTGAGATTGGCAATATAGACGTTGAAACAGAAGCTCTTCTTAAAGATAACAACGTATCATCTGAAGAGTTCAATGAAAATGTAATTAAATGTCTTCCTGTAACTCCGTGGACGATTTCTGATAAGGAATTCGAAACACGGCGCAATTTGACTTCTACTACCAGGATTTTTACAATTGATCCTCCGAGCGCCAATGATATCGATGACGCGGTTTCTTGCTCTCGTTTACCTGATGGTAATTACGAAATTGGAGTTCATATTGCAGATGTAAGTTATTTTGTAAAACCAAATACTGCACTTGACCGCGATGCGCGTAAAAGGGTGACTTCTGTTTATCTGGTGCAAAAAACGGTTCCTATGCTCCCTAATATACTTTCCGAAGAACTCTGCAGCTTGAACCCCGGTGTTGATCGGTAATTATCTTGAAGGCTTGATCGTTTAATTTTTTTTTTTTTTTTTTTTTGAAAGATTTAATTGAATTTATTTCATTTTTAGGCTTTCATTTTCCGTAATTTGGAAAATGACTCCCGAAGGCAAAGTTATGGAGACATGGTATGGTCGGACAATTATTCGATCTTGTGCAAAATTATCGTACGAACATGCACAAGAAGTAATTGAAGGAAGACCGTTAAGTTCTGATGTCAAAATTTTTAATGACTATGCTGCTGAAGAAATTGAAGCAGATATAAAAGTCTTTCATGTAAGTTAAATAAAAGTTTGGTATATTTAACTTAAATTTAAAATATTTAAATATTTAACAACTTTTATATTAAATAGGATCTTAGTCAACGTTTGCGTGAAAATCGCTTCAAACGTGGAGCTTTGTTTTTGGGTTCCATCAGATTAAATTTTGAACTTGATGAATATAGTAACCCTATTGAATGTAACTTGTATGATCGTAAAGACTCAAATTATCTTATCGAAGAATTCATGTTACTTGCTAATATGAGTGTCGCACAAAAAATATCAAGCGCTTTCCCCGAACAAGCTTTGCTTAGGCGTCACGCTCTTCCTCTTGAACGCCGTCTTGTATGTTAATATAATTATAAATATTAATTAGTTTCTTATTAAAAATATTTTCTTCATGACTTTAACACAATATTTAAACATTTATTTAGAATGATTTTATAGAACATGCTCGTAAACTAGGTTACGAAATCAATGCTACTTCTGCTGGAACTTTACAAAAGTCTTTGGATGCTGTCGAAGATGAAGATGCTAAACAGGTAAAATGAAATAATGGTGAATTGTTAATTGTGATTTTATGATTTCAATACTTATAATTAATTAATCTTGTAGGTCTTGAAACTTCTTGCAATTAAACCAATGCAAAGAGCAAAATATTTTTGTACTGGTACTTTGGATATTGCAAAATATCATCATTACGCTTTGAATGTTCCTTTATACACACATTTTACTTCCCCTATTCGTCGTTACGCTGATATTCTCGTTCATCGCATGCTTGAATCTGCTTTACTTGGTGGTATGAAAATTTTCATTTTCAATTTTTGTATTTCTGAACCACTGATTTGCGCATTGATTTACATATTGATTCACATATTGATTTACATATTGAATTACACAGAAAAACGATTTTATCTTGACAAAGATACTGTTCAAAAGACGGCAAATCACTGCAATGTAAAGAAAGATGCATCTAAGAATGCTCAAGAACAGAGCAGTCATCTATTCCTATGTGTTCTTCTCAATAATTTAGCTCTTCGATCTGGCCCAGTAATACGAGAAGCCATCGTAATAGGTGTTAAAGATCACGCATTTGACGTCTTAGTACCAGTGTTCGGTATCGAAAAACGAGTTCATTTGGACCAATTACCATTAGAAAAATTTGTATTCAATGAAGAGAAAAAGGAACTCATTTTACATTGGAAACCAGGAATCAGCTCTCTTGAACCAATTCCCGAAGATTTTGGATTTGTTGAAGATGAGGAAGATGTCTTAGATGTTGACGAGGATGCATTACTTGGAGATGTCAACGAAGATTATCATTATGAATTAATGGATGTTACTAGTCTCCCTATCGAAGACGAACATAGATTATTCGATGCCAATTCTGATATAGGTGATGATGATATTGAAGATGACGACGTTCCCATCATTGGAGACAACAGTAATGATGATAATACACACGTTGCTAATATTACATCAACATCCATTCATGAATTCACCGAAGCCAATCTCTCTATTTCGGAAAATAATCCATCGAATCAAACAAAACCTACAAAAATTTCACCACCCATTATTAATATTTCAGAGATTCCACAACTACCCGTAGATGCAGATCCGTCTATTCCTAATTCGCAAATTATTCGAGAGCTATGTCACCTTCAAGTTGTGATTACCGCGGATTGTAAGAAGAGTCCGCCTGTTATAAAGGTTTTAGCTGTTAATCCTTATATGTAATCTTTTACTTTAATATTGTTACACTTGATCGAAAATATTATTTAGTAATAATTATATTTGATTGATATATAGAATTGAATCTATTTTTTTATATTTTATTTACTATTATTATTTCTATGTTATTATAGAAAAACTATTTTAGGGTTTATTAAAAATTGTAATTTCTTTTTTTTCTTCATTTTATTTGCTTTCATTATTGTCATTGTTTTTTTTTTTGGTATATTATATATTAATAAATAAACGAATAAATCATGTTTAAAAGTTAATAATTCGATATCGACTATTGATTTTTAATAAGATTTATTTATAATCAATATAAAAAATTTTATATTTTTCGGCCAGAATAATATTAAATTATGATATCTTTTTATTTTATTTATGATACACATAAAAAATGATCAAATGAAACCAATTTGGAAATATTTAAATATAACAAAACAAAGAAAACAAAAAAAAAGGGACAGAATAATTTTAATTATCATTATTCATACATGTACAATTCAAAAATAATTCAATGATATCGTATTGTATAGCATAAAAAAAAATATCTAAAAACAACTTCGACCCACCAAAAAATGGTATAAAAAGATAATCTTACATGAATAATTTAAAAGGAATCAAAAAAAAAAAATCATTACAAAGAAATTTAGGCAGATCTAGCAAATCCAACCTAAAAAATTCAACAAAAAAAAAAGTTATTAGAAATAAGTTACAAAAATAAAAATAAAAATAAAAAAATAAAAAATAAAAATAAGAATAAGAATAAAATAAAGGAAAAGGAAACATTACCCGATCATTTCCTAAATCATAGATCGTATAGAACTTACGAAGAAAAGCATCACCAACTAAAAGATTGAATTAATATTATTAGTGATATAGAAATGAATTAATATAATTTAATTTAATTTAATCTTTTAGAAAAATATATACCAATCCAGATAGGACCGAGTGGCTCAGGGATATCAAGACCAAAGAATGAAGATACACATTGGTTTTGAGCTATAGATCAAACGTACAAAAAAAAATAAATAAATGTGTGTTTGTTCACAATATAAAATAATGTAAAAAAAAAAAAAAAAAAAAAAAAAAAAAAAAATTTACCTTTCAAAATATATTCTGATCCTTTTAATGTAAATAATTTACCATTGAATACAAAACTGAAATCAGGCAAACTTGGAACTTTGTTACAATCAATAACATATTGACCAGCATAATTTTTCTTGGCACCAATTTGTTTGTTAATTAAATCTGCAAATATGGTGGGCATAGCTATGAGAGAAGTGCCAGTATCGATAGCTGCACCAGTATTCTCCATCTCAATTTCTTCATCTCCAAAAACAATTTTTTCCAATTCAACTTCCCAATATGCCTTTCTACGAACATGAGCCCAGTGAATATCATCAATATAACGAGAGGTATCTACACCACCGAAAGTAAGCTCGCCTCCAAGATCACCTCTATTTTTATCATTATCATTGTCGCTAAGCCAAAATGAGAAAACGGGTTGATCAATAATACCCTGATTTACCATATGGTAAAAAGGAGGAACAACTCCTTCAACGGAGATACGGTCATAGGCTTTTAATTGTAAATATAAAATATATAAAATATATAAAATATATAAAATATATAAAATAATCTAAACTTAATATTTTAACGTTTAAACAAATTACTTAAAAGATATAATAAAAGATATAATATAAAAAACTTACCAAGACCAAAAATTCCATCAAATTTTCCAAATGCAAACGCCAATCCAGGCTCTTTAACAGATTCACCAAAATCTTGTCCTTTTACTCTAATATCTCCGACTTCTAATACATCCTTATATTATTAAAAATCCAATGAGTTAGTAAGTATTATTATTATAATAATAGAAAAAAACAAACAAGAATATCAGAATATATGTAAATATGTGTTTTATACTTACTTGGCTAATGATTCCTTCAAGACTACCTGAACCGTAGTGAATTTGAAATTCTGTACCATTTTCTTTGAAAGTGCTAGATTGACTAGAGTCAAATCGGCGATGAAGAAAACATGCGATTGAAGTACAATGAGTTGATGGGACCCAAAGGTTGGATGATCCAGTATCAAAAATAACACTGAATGTTTGAGGTGGAGTACCAAGGGAAATTTCCCCATAATACTATGAACAATATGAATAATATGAAAAAATATGAATAATATGAACAACGTAAACAATTTTTTCCATATATTAAATTTCAAATAAGAAAGAAAAAAACTAAAATTTTATTTTTATCTAAACCTGAACATTCATGAAATTAGACAGAGGTACTCCGTGTTCAAACTTTCCCATAGGATCTGAAAAGACCATCTGGTTTGCTTCTTGTAAATGACGAGAACCTCCAAAGTATTTTTGGGTCAAATATTCACTAGACTGTGAATAACGATGCATTTTCTGAGACGGAGTCTCAGGAATTTTCTTCAAAGTCACCCTAAAAATAAAAAAGATTTACGAGTTGATCAAATAAATCATAAAAGAGTCAAATTCAAATTCAAATTCGAATTCAAATTTCTAAAGGTTTACTTGTGAACTGTTGCATCAGTTAAAAGGCAGAATGGAGCAAAAACACATATAATAAAAGATAAGATAAACTTCATTTTCGTTTCTTATAGCCGTTATGTAGAGTTAACAATTATTTTATTGTAAATTTCCAACAATTTGTCGGAAAAATAAAAAATTGTTTTATAATGAAATAGTTTTCACAATTAGGCACTATATAATTGAGAACCTAATAATTTCTATTATTTCATACAGTGACATATTTAAACATCAAATTCTGATACACATTACACAAATATTACTTTTTTATGTTTCGCGCCATTTGCCGTTTTGGAACGGAACCAATTAACCATTTGGAAAAATCTATCGGAGAAAAGATTATAATAACAAGTTACCCCCTATATTTCTTATTTGAGTTACACGACGGCACATAAAGATGCATAATCTATATCAAAAATAATCAAAAAATAATTATCTTAAATATTAAAAGAAATAAGAAGTTCAAAAAAAAAAAAATATCAAAATTCAGAATTTAAAAATAAATTTATCATTTTTTAAAAAAAATAATACAGGTAGAATAAAATGATTAAAGATTTTTTTTGGAAATACATGATTGCCAAGTATCTGAATTTATAGAATTTATAAAAATAAGATTAATACAATTTTTATTTTTATTTGTGCGACTGTTTTTATTAGCCCATTTAATACATATTTTAATTGAGAATTATTTAATTTAAATTATTCAGGTATTTTATAACATGACTAAATATTTTAAAAAATCATAATGTAAATTATGTAAATTGAAACATGAAAAATCAAGAATTAAGGATCGAATCAGATCGAAATCCGATCTGGAGATGGATGAAAATCTTCAGATTTTATAGATTTTATTCTTAGTATATTATCCGCGGATTAAATATGTGATAATCCGAAACTATCTTATATAAATAAGACAGTGTTTGAAATTCAATGTAGAAATGTGCGCTAGCACAAAATTTGAAAACTCCACAAAAAAAAAAGGCATCCGCACAAATTTTTGCATATAGAATTCTAAATTGTGTATATTCTGCATAGGATTTAAAATTTGAATTTGATCTTGCGATTTAATTGGTTAAAGATCAAAAATTCAAATTTGATTATTGAAAATTGCTAAAGCTCACCGGTGGTGATTGTCACCACTGGGCAAAATTAAATTTACGTGGGCAAAGTTAGGGTTAGGGGCTGATCAGGGAATTTTGTAATTTTACCCGGCAGTGAAAATCACTACTGGTGAGCTTTAGCAATACCCGAATAAGAAACTGTAATTTATAGTTTGTTACAACTAAATATCATATTTTTAAAGTTTTCGTAAAATATTTTTATTTATTTATTATTAATAAATGATGAATATGATAACAGATTATAAAAGTAATTCATAAATTATTTAAATTATTTCTATAAATAATACAAGTAAAAAATAGTATTAATTTGTTATAAACTTTTAGTGTGAGGTTTCCTTTATTTTTTTGGCGAGAGTTCCTGATGAAGATTCAGTATTAGAACCACCAACCTTATATAATAGAAATATAATAGAAATATAATAGAAATATAATAGGAATATAATAGAAATATAATAGAAATATAATAGAAGTGTAATATAATATATATAATATAAATAATATATATTAGTAAATTATATTTAAAATTATAAACATAAACATAATATTAATTCAAGATTATCTTACTCTAACGTGATTGAATTTCGGTAAAACCTATCAAAAGAACAACAAAAAAGAATTGTAAAATCACAATATTACATTTTTTATTTAATCAGAGATGATAATAAATAAATAAATAAATAAATAAATACCTCACGAAGATAATCTAGATGACGCGTGTGCAAACTTGATTGATGCTATAAAAATTTTTAAAAATATATTATAAAATATATTATACAAATATAGTTTTATGAATAAATCGATATTTTAAATTAAAAATAAATTAAAAATAAATTAAAAATAATTAAAAATAAATTAAAAATAAATTAAAATAAATTAAAAATAAATAAATCAAAATAAATTAAAATAAATTAAAATAAATTAAATACAATGATACAACATACACTTGATGTCGCCGTTTGAGTCCTTCGGTTATGATGATCACCGTATATTACTGTATTATCGGGAATTTCATCGTCTTTATTGGTCGAACAAACTGCTCCAATAACACAATTATCGCCCAATGAAGTAGAACCTAAGATTCTCGCTTTATAAAAAAATAAATAAAATATTTCTTTAAATTAGATAATGAAAATTTTCCGAAAAATTTTATTCGATAAAAAAAGAAAAAAAACATACCCTTGGCTTCTATTATATTTCTACTTCCAATCTTAGAGCCTTCTACAACTATTATAACAATTTTTACTTTTGTAATTATTCAAAAATAATATTTGTCCTAGCAAAAAAAAAAAAAACTTACGGCATCCAACTTCAAAAACATTTTCATCACCAATTATAAGCTTTCCTGGATATCTTATAAAATAATTATTATTTACGAACAAATTAACAATTTTACAAAATAAAAAAAAATTAATTAATTAATTAACAAATATAAAGTTTTATTGAGCCTTACTTATTTATAATGGTCACATTTTCTTCAATTATATTATTTTGTCCAATGTGAATTGGTCCACATTCTGCATTTATTTTACACTGTGGATGTAAAACAGTACCTATAAAACTCATTTAATTAAGCCGACGGAAATTTTGAAATTTTTGAATACGAAATATACACATTTCGAGGTTACCTGGACCTTGTAAATTTTTATAATTTAAAGGTGAGGTAAATGCAAAATTTTTTTAATAATAGAATTTTCATATACGAAACAACCTTTTTTTTAAAGATATTTTACCTATATGAATTTCTCCCTTCAATTCAGTGTCTTGACATACAACAGCCCGCTTTCCAATAGTAATAGTAGGAGTGCTGATATAAAAATATCATAAATAAATATCATAATTGTAAATAAAAGAAAATAAACGGTTTTCTACAGTTAACAATTCAAAACAACATTTACTTGGACATTTTAGAAATGATAAGAACAAATTTTTGGTGGGTCGAAATCCCAAATATAGAAAACTAATCTCACATGATTTAATACGCATTTTAATTGATTGATATAATTGATATTCTAATTATAATTGACATTTAAAAAATATAAATATAAAATATATATATATATATAATCTTATCCAAAACAATTTATTTTCAAGACACTTTGGTTATTATTAATATTATTATTATTGAACAAATAATTCTGGTGTTTCATTTTCTACAAACAAAGCAGTTTGCTTTACAGTTTCATCCCATTCTTGTAATCTCTGTCTCATACCATCAATTTGAGTTCTATCTAATACACGTGGCTGAACCCATGTCACTGCAACCACTTCACCAACTTGATCAATAGATCCACGAATTAATTTCAGTGAAAGTGCTTTCATTACTAAATATTCCACCTAGGAATTATAAAAATTATAAAAATTATAAAGAAAGTATTACATTAATAAATAAATAAATAAATAAATAAATATATTAAATACATTTCAAGAAATACAGATTTATACCTCTTCAATGGATAATCTTGTCTCTGCAGCAATAACTCCAAAAGGTATTGTTCTATTATCAGCATTTCTCTTAAACACTGCTTCAATCAATGACATCAAACAAATTTTTTGACGTAAAAAAGAGAAAGAATCTTGTAGAAGTTGCTATTAATAATAATTAAATAATAATAATATTATTATTATTAAAAAATAAAAAATAAAAATAAAAATAAAAATAAAAATAAAAATAAAAATAAAAATAAAAATTACAAATTATTTCATTACCAGTTGTGTGAAATTAACCGCCAGCATCTCAAACTTTCCAATATCACCGGAATTAAATGCAAATAATAAATTTTTAAGCCATTCATGAGGTGTGTTTGTTAAAACTTCTAAAATTGGATGCATTAACTTTAAATAATAATAATAACGTAGATCTTTATTTCAGTATGAATTTTTTGAAAATATGAAAAAAAAATGATAAGAAGATATATTAAATATATCAATTAACAAACCAATTCTCCAAAATTATAAATTGTATCCCCCAAGAGAGCACTAATTGCCAAATCATAAGCTCTTTCGATTTTTTCATCTATAGTCAATTCATCAAGTTGAATACAAGCCAAATAAAGCAATGCATTTTTGTAATATTCAGTATATTCCGCTTTCGCCTAATGTTAAAAACAATAACTGAATTTCTCACGTTAGTGATCTTGAAGAGAGTTGTACGTTATGATCATTGTTAATTATTTTTTTTACCTTATAATAATCTGCACAAACTCGATAAAAACTCGCGTGAATAACTGTCTCTACTGAATCAAATTCATCAAGAATCTTTTCACATTCATCTATAGCAGATTTTGTACCCTCAAGATCACTTAACATAAGTTTTATATATGCAGTTTCCATTACAGCTTGAACGTAGGCATCACGGGATTCTGAAGTATTCACTTTCTCGACAAGTGATGTCAAAAAAGCCAAAGCATCATTGTATTCTGTTTATATAGTTTTTTTCAAAAGAATTTATCAAAAAAAAAAAGAAGATAAACAAATTTCAGAGTCATAATAGATAATTTTGCCCACCATTAAATTGTTTTACTACATTTAAGCCCAAGGTCACTAATTTAAGTTTATTCATCTTATTTTCCCAGTCAGATATGAATTGTTGGAATAATGGGATCTGAAAAGGACCCGAAGCCGGTATTGCAAAGAATTCTTCGATTTTTAGAGTAAGTTGATGCCATAACTTTCGATCATACAAATCTTCAAATGTATTTAAGTATTCTTGTAATTCAGGTGAACACTGTTTACGAAGTTCGTTCAAAACAAGTGTTGGGTTTTGATCCACTTCCATTTTCGTGGACTGTTGAAAGGACATCGTAGACAATTAATATTCATATGTCACGTGAGTTCATCGATTAAAATATTTTTTTTTCACTTATCATTACGTAAACTCGAGATTTTTGTGTAACAGAAAATTTTTAAAGTGACACGATCGCTACCCTTTTGTTTCGCGTTTTACAATAAATTACAAATTTTATTTTAACAAGTCATTGCCATGTTTTTCACTGTTATATATATATATATATATTTATTAGATGTCTTGACTATATAAAAATACTCAAATATTCCAAATATCTCATGTTTTATTTTCATATATTTATATAATATTGAATTTCTATACAGGTGAAGAAATGTAAAAATTTGTAAAAGTGAAAAAAAAAAGACTTAGTTTCATTTTTAGTATTGGAGGTTAAATATATCATTTCTATTGTTTATTTTACACTTATTTTTATATATCTTTCGCTCATCATTTTTCGGAAAACTATTCGTTCAACTATCTATTTTATCTATTGCCAAACGAGGGAGTTTTTTTTTGTTAGTGGTGGAGATGAAAGTTAAAAATTATGGATTAATTAGATTCTTTATTTATTCACTTCGAGATTTTAAGGTTAGTAAGTTAAAGTTCTCCATAATTAAAACATATAACATTAGTTTTGAGTAAAATTTTCTTTACAAAATAAAAGAATTATTTATCTAATAATAATAAATAATAGAAAGAATAAAAAGAATAGAAAGATTTAAATTAAAAGCTTGGAATCTATTTTTAAAAATGAGAAAACTTCATAAATAGAAAATTGTCATGTTTAGATCACATCCATCAAATACTTTTAAAATAGTTTTTCGTACAAATTCTGGTGGCAATTTATCCAGTCCTGTTCCAATTTTTGGTGCACTCAAAACTTTGACACCCAATTCTTCACATAATTCTTTCAAATAATATAATGAGTTTTCGAAATTTCGTCGTGTTGGTTTTTGAAAGTATTTTTCTTTAGTAATAATATAAAAAATGTACCGATCATTTCTACGAAGGAAAGCAACTTCTCCGACTCCTTTCTTTTGAGAAAGCAGTTCTTCGACACCTTGAAATTTTTCTTTAAATACGGAAGCAATACCTTTACCCATACGAAAGTCCGCAGAAACACAATGAGCCAAGCTGGAATTTTGTGATGCGTCTACAAAAAGGTCACCTCTACACTCAATTAAATTAAACTCAGGTCCTTCGCTTTTAATTAAGGGTTTTTTAATATTATTGCTTAAGACTTGGGAATATAAATTATTAGATTTCATGTTTATTTAAATATTAAAAGAAAAGGTTTTCCACTATTATTTTAATAATTTATAATTTATAAAAATGTGACACAAATCTAAATATAAATGCATCATTAAATTTAAAAGTAAATAGTAAAAAAAGATGCTTGATCTTAATCTTTTTCAAGTCGATAAGGGTGGGAATCCTGAACTTATACGAAAATCCCAACGTAAAAGAGGCGCTTCTGTTGAAATAGTCGACGAAGTTATTGGTTTGTACGATGAATGGCGGAAAGGTGAATTTGTTTTTCTACACTGGAATATATGGTTATTATTTCTTTAAAGCGAACACTTAAAACTTTGGAATTATTTGTAAATTCATTTTTACCCTTTTTCGTGGTCAAAATTAGTACGCTTTGATTTGGACCAAGTGTTAAAGAAGCAGAATGCCCTTCAAAAAGAAATAGGGTTAAAAATGAAGGTACAACAACGTACGGTTATTTTAAGAATAATCAAATCATTTTAATATTTCATTAAATCGAAATTAATTTTAAAAGAAAAAGGAGGATGCATCTAGTTTGATTGCTGTAAAAGAATCTCTTAATTCTGATAAAGAACGTCTCGGTATACTTGAAAAGGAGAAAGAAGAGACACTTAAATCCTTAGCTTGTACTATTGGAAATATTGTACATGATTCTGTAATTGTTTCTTCTAATGAGGAAGATAATGATATTATTAAAAAATGGGAACCAGAAAATGAAAGAAAACCCATAAAAAAAGATGGAATTTTATCTCATCATGAAGTGTTATTTAGAATTGATGGTTATGACTCTGAGAGAGGTATTTACTATCTCATCTGGATATCAATTATTCGTTCAGTTATTTCAATTATTGTTTTATTCAATATCCATTTTATTTATTTATTTATTTTTTTCTTTTGTGTAAAGGAACAAATATTGCTGGACATCGTGGTTATTTTTTGACAAACGATGGTGTAGATTTTAATATGGCACTTATACAGTATGGACTTTCATTTCTAAGAAAACGAGAATACAAAAAATTACAAACACCTTTTTTTATGAGAAAGGAATATATGGCTAAGACAGCTCAATTGGAACAATTTGATGAAGAACTATATAAGGTAATTTTAATCATTATAATTAATTATTATAATTTTTTAATATTATTATAATATTTTTTAAATTAAAAAAAAAAAAAAAAACGCGACATTAAATTATTAATAATAGGTTGGTGGAGATGGTGATGATAAATATTTAATTGCCACCTCTGAACAACCTATTTCGGCTTTTCATGCTAATGAATGGTTTGAAAGACCTGCAGAACAATTGCCTTTAAAGTAATATCAATTAATAATTATTTAATCAATTATCAAAATAATTATAATATACATTAGAAACCATTTCAATTTATTTATTTAAAATTCCAATATAAAAAAATAGATATGCGGGATATTCAACATGTTTTCGAAAGGAAGCTGGAGCACATGGAAAAGATACATGGGGAATCTTTCGTGTTCATCAATTTGAAAAGGTTGAACAATTCGTCATTACTGAACCAGGAAAATCTTGGGAACAATTTGATGAAATGGTCAATATTTCTGAACAATTTTACCAGTCTTTGGGTTTACCTTATCGAATAGTTTCTATTGTGTCAGGAGCTCTTAATAACGCAGCAGCAAAGAAGTATGATATTGAAGCATGGTTTCCTTATCAGGGAGAATACAAAGAATTGGTTAGTTGTTCTAATTGTACAGATTATCAATCAAGGAGATTAGAAATTAGATGTGGTGTAAAGAAAATGGGAGATCGAGAAAAGAAATATGTACATTGTTTGAATTCTACATTATGTGCTACTGAAAGAGCTCTATGTTGTATTTTGGAAAATTACCAGACTACTGAGGTAAGATTAAAAAAAAAATTTTTGTAATTCATTATATTGATTATTAACACATATCATTTTTTAATGAAATAGGGTGTCATTATACCAGAACCACTTCGGCCCTATATGGATGGCAGAGATTTCTTGCCATTTGTCAAATCCTTACCAAAGAAAAAGTAACAAAATTGGAGAAACATAGAAATTAATTAGGCCAAATAATAAAAAAAATAATCTAAAAAAGTTGTTCTAAATTTTATTTCTTTGATTAAAAAAATTATATCAAGTTTGTACAAAATCTGTATATATAACAATATAATTCTCTATAAGAATTATTTGACCTGCTAAATTTTATATCAGATTTTTGTGATTAATTATTTTCAACTAATTATTGTATTATGTTAAAGATTCTTTGTAAAAATACTATTTAATAAATGAAAAATTATCAAAATGAGGTATTATTTTTTATAGTTAAGTTTTGGCTTTTGTAAGAATTTTGAATTATTTTTTTTTCAGGTAGTTTGTTGTAGTGAATCTCTTGATTCTTTAAATTAATTTGAAAATAAAAAATATTTAAGAGTTGGTTTTGTTAAATAATTTTTGATGGGAGAATGAATTTAATATAAAGGCATTAATGGATAATAATTATTATGTTCAATCAAGAAATTTACTATCTTTAACAATTCCTTATTGAGATTATTTATGGTTATCTTTAAAGACCTTGTTTGTTTCTGCCAATTCTTTTCCTTTTGTAGTGTTAACTGGAAGGATCTTGTTTTTGTACTGTTAACTGGAATTTACCTTCAAAGGAATCTGGTAACAACAAATATAACAGGGAAATATCTAAGTATAGAGATCACACAGCACTATATGTAATATGTTAAAGTTTAAGGATAATATATGAAGGATTATCAATTGAGGCTTTATTCAAAAGAGGCAGAAGGTGAGTTTTTATAAAAATATGAATCAGCATTATGACTGGAGTACCAAATTCAGGATTGATAAAAATGGTGAGATATTGAAAGAGGTAAAAGGTATACATGTTGTCCAAATTACTTGGAATTTGGAGTTTGGAACTATTTGTATAATTTTGATTTTTGAAAATTAATTAGTAAAGGATAACAAGTACAATAATATTCTTCTGAAATAATGGTTTTTAAAATTTTACACTATTCAAAATGTTGTCAAGTTCTGTTAAAATGCTTAATTAATTGTTCTTGAAGAAGATTTGAACCTATAAACTTATTTTCACAAAACATTTCCAAAGCAATTTAAGATTTTCAAGAACTTTCTAACAATTATCTCTAATTTGAAAAAGGATATTAAGTTGTTTTCTAATATGTTCCAATTCTTGGAGTTCCTTCTAAATCAAAAATAGGAACATGTTCAATATTTTCTGTTTCATATGTTGAATGATCAAAAATTGGCAAAAATTTTGGCAAAAAATCAGCTTGGTCTATTTACATATCACCCACAGATCTCCTTGCCTATTTGCATATTTTCCTTCAAAAATTTTTCTTATTTGACCAGTGTTTGTTAAACTATTACTTATACTTAGGTATTCCTGCTATAGTTGTTATTACCAGATTCCTTTTAGAGGTGAATCCCAGTTCAGTTAACAGCATTAATTTTTCAGCTTCATTATTTTTTTTTATTTGATTAAATTCTAGAAAAGCTATTTGCATTGATGTGCTTCTTTCCAGTTTTATGTAGAACAGTTAAAGTGTATTCTTATAAAAATGAGTATCCATCTGATTTGAGAAAGCTTATAAATAATGAATTAATATGGTTTTTATATTGAATAAATGTGCAGGTCAAATATGTCTAACAATTTCTAATGGAATAGTACCTTTACCTTATTACTTTCACATTGGTACACTTGTCAATAGTCAAATTCAAATATTTTTTCATGAAGATATCAATGTGTATTACAATTTTTAAATACATTATTTTTTGTGCTGGTGGGCTAACTTCACTTATGAATTCAGACAGAATGATCTGCTACCAAAAGAAAATACACTCCATGTAAATATTATCTTGAGTACTGAATTATACCACAACTAGAAATTTCTTCTCTGTTGTTGAATAATTCTTCTTGTAACAGTCATGCTTTTACTATCATAAAAAATAACTCTTTCATGTTCTCAAAGACTTTTTGAGATAATATTGCACATAGAAGATGCAATTGTAACAGTAAGAACTCCTTAGCAACATCAATACTGATGCAGTGGACAATTTCTCTTTTAACAATTCAAAGGCATTATGTTGATTCTCTATCCACTTATACCTTATTCCCTTCTTTAGTATTGTTTAAGAGGGAAGCTAACTTGGAGAACCTTTGAAAAATCTTCTGTAATAAGAGACTAGGCTTGAGAAATTTCTAAACTGTCTCAAGTTTATCAGGATTGGTAGAAATTCCTTCTTGAGCTCATAACATAGCACTTTTTGTTTCAGTTTTAAACCAGCTATTTTTATTTAGTGAAAACTTCTTTGAGATGTACAGTGGACCCATCAAAGCTGGAAGAATAGATATTTAAAGTTATCTAGATATACTATAACATATTTTCCAATTACATCTCTGAAAGGTAGAGAGGACATTAGTCAACCCAAATGGCATTTCAAAGATTCCATACTGAGTTATAAAAGCTGTTTTCTCTCTATTCTTTGGATACATTTTAACTTTTCAATATCCATCGGTAATATCAAAAAGATATGTATCAAGAAGAGTTACCTAACATATCAAACAAATCACCAATCCTTGTTAAATGATAATTATCTTCCTTTGTAACAGCATTCAGTTTCCTATAGTCAATGAAAAAATCTACTTTATCTTATGAATAAAGATTAAAAAAAAATTTATAATAGATCAAAAAAATAACTAATTATTTATATATATGTGAGAATTATTTAAATATTTTAGGTTTTATTTTGAAAATTTAAATAAAATTAATAAAAGTTGGAAGGGTGAAAAGGACATATAATATAATTTATTAATTCTATTAAGATAACTTTTCGATCTTTTCGTAATGATCACATGAATTCCATAATATTTACAGAAACATATATAATAAAACGATAATGGAATGAACTTTATTTTGAGGAAAGTTGAACGATAATTTTTAACTAATTCGCTGAGAAATATAACCATTTATTTTTTATTTTAATAATCTTCCTTTACTCAAAACCAATTATGAGATACCGCGCCGGCAGTAAATAATGTGTCTATTGGTGGTTGTTCGGTGAGAGGATAAATGATTGGAGGGATTGGAGGGAATTTGGATGCGATCGAACTAATTGAAATGGAATAAAGAATGAATGAGGCTTTTATATTACAAATTATTTAATAAAAATATTTATAATTTATCCTTACCCATCATAAAAGAAGGATGGTGATAAATCCAAAGAAGTTGAATGTCTTCTTAAATGTGATTGATAAAGTTGATTCACAATCGCATAAGCAGCTTCAATATCTCCACGATCCAAACTGTTAATCGAATCCGTTTCATTAGAACCTTGCGAGGATGATGATTGTTGTTGTTGCTGTTGTTGTTGTTGTTGTTGATTATGATATTTTAAAATCGTACCACTATTACTTTCATCATTTGTGGTGGGATAAAGCGAGAATGCTCTTGGATTTAAAAATTTTGTTGGTTCGGGAGTTAATGGTAATTCAACATCAAAATTTTTATGAATATTTGCAATATTTATAGTTTCTTCCACATGAAAACTTTGATCATTTGTTTCACTTCCATCTATTATAAATTTAATAACCAACATGTGAGCTATGTTGATGAGTTTACCATAATATGTAGGAGAGATTCTTCGTGGAATCCAAAGATTTGCTGTAGTTATGCAATCTCCACGAATTTGATCAGATTCAGGTTTTAGATACTTTAAATCTTTACGTGTTATTATCGATTCAGTAGAACGTTTTATCACTCTACAAGTTTCCTTGGTATTAGATCTAAATTTCATCAAAGTTCGCATGGACACTTCAATTTTTTCAAGACTCACACCAGGTTTAACAAATCGAATTCGTAATGGGATCGATAAATAAACTCCAATATTTATATTTTTTCCTGGTGGTAAAATGAATGCATAATTGAGAATTTCGGATTCTCTCTGGTATTGTGTTGGCAATTCTCTATCATTATTTAACACCAAGGTACGCTTGAGTGGACAAAGAATTTCCACGCTGTGAGATGGCGAGGTAACAAGAGTACCTTTAAGATATACAGTGGCGCGTAAAATATAATAAACAGCTCCAAACCTTGTAGTCAAAGTTTCTGGTAGATTATGAGGTAATTTTACTTTAAAAGGTATACCATAATTTGTTATATCACTTTCTTTTGCTGATGGTTCCCAAATTTTATAAGATTGATTCACTACCGTTTGTTCACCTTTAAATACTATTTTGGTTCTACCCTGAGATTTTGTCCATTTAGTTTTTTCGTAACCTTTTAGATTTAAATAAACATTTTTTACACGAACGGGTTTTTCATAATTTAAATGAAGAACTCCCATCAAATAACTATCAGTTTTATCCAATGTTCCATGTTGAAACGTGGTGAAATAAGGTACATATGAGAATGAAACATTTTTATGAGTTTTTATATAAGAGTTTGAAGGTGGTGAAAAGTTTAGGAATGTACCGTCAATAGGTGATTGTATAATATAAGGACTTGGTGGACTATCATTTATTATTGATCCATCGGTTACATCGTTTGTTATATAGATATTGGGAGGTAAACGAATTTTTTGTGTACTGACTTCGTCGTGTTGTAAAGTTGCCATTGCTTTAAAAAAAATATAACTTCTATTATAGCAGAGAACAAGGAAATTCTAGCTAATAATTAAAAAATTCGTAAAAAAAATTTTTTTTTTTTTTAACAGAACTTTTCAAGAAAATTTGCTTTTAAAAAAATGCAAAACTTGTCATTTTATTTTCATACACGTTTATAAATCATTCTATTTCCTATAATTTGTATATATTTTTATTTCCTTTTAATCAAGTTGAGGCTTTTCTTTAAACGGGTTGATAACCAGAAAAAATTATTCGTAAAGAAAACTTGTTTTTTTTTCATATTTGCATAGCCACGTAACATTATCGATTATTATTTGAAAAAATTATAGAGAAGAATAGAGATTAATCTTTCTAAAAAATATTGAATTAGATATTCACTTTGAGGCGAAGTAAGGCTGTACTTTTTTCTGTTTATTTTGCATTTAGTGGCATTGATCATATTTTATTGTATCTTTTTTAATGAGTCAATTTGAAAACTTGAGGCTTTTCACAATTATCAATTTTCAGGACGAGGTGTTGTCTTATGAATCATTAATTAAGTAATGATGGTATATTTGATTATTTTGTATGTAGATTCTCGGTTTTTTTTTTCCTTGATCCAGAATAGTTGTCATTTGGGTTTCATTGATTCATTTAGTCAATATGTAGAAGAGCAATTGAGAATAAAAATAAAGTCTTTTCTTAATGAGATTTTTTTCTGAATAATTTAATGTAATTTTATCAACTTTGGAATTGTTTAAATCGTGAATAGATTACATTTCCAATATATCTAGGTCTAGGTCATATGAATACCTAAATATTCAAATTAATCAAAATATTTAACCAACTCTTTTTTATTAACTTTTCCCATCGCATTCCTTGGTATTTCATCCACAACTTTTAACAAAGAAGGAATTTTGTATGATGCTAAGTTTGTTTTAGCATATTCTCTTAATTGTTGCAAGTCTAAATTTAATTTCTAATATTTAAAATTTATTAAAATTATTATTATTAAAAAAAAATTATTAAAAAGATATAAATAAAAAATAAATAAAATAAAACACATTAACTTACAGGATCTTTAAGTTTTATCAAAGCAGCAACTTTTTGTCCCCATACTTGATCTTCAACTCCTACTATGACAATTTCCAATATATTTGGATGTGCTTGTAAAGAATTTTCAATTTCTAATGCTGATAATTTATATGCTCCAGACTTTTCGTGTACATATCATAAAATTGATTTACACACATTAAAATCAAATAATTAAAAAAATTTAAAAGAAAAATAAATGTAATAATAAATTACTTTAATAATATCCACACTCGATCTTCCAAGTATTTTAAAAACTTTCTCTTTTTCAGTTTTCATAGCTATATCACCTGTCTTGAACCTTTTTTTTTTTAAAAAAATAAAGTCTTATATTATAAAAAATAATAAACAATAAACAATAATAATAATAATAATGTTATTGTACCATCCATCTTCAGTGAATTCTTTTTTAGTTTCTTCAGGTTTATTCCAATATCTTTGAATAGTTAAATAGTTAAATAGTTAAATTATCTTTAAATAATCTTTTTTTTTTTTTTTGAAATATAAAGCATTAGAATAATAAATATATTTTTTTTAAAAAATATATACTCTTTAAATACATTTGGTCCTTTGATTTGTAATTCTTCCGGTTGCTCATAAGTATTTGTAATATCTTTACCATCTTCAGACATTAATCTTACCTGAACCCCTGGTAAAGGAACTCCTATACATCCCTATAATAATATATATAATAATATATAATAATATATATATGGTATGTGTAAAGATATATGAAATAAATTAATATTATATTAAATTACCTCATATCTTTTTTCAATTTCATATTCATGACTTAATCCCATTCCAATTTCACTCATTCCATATCTTTCTAATAATACCTGACCACTAATTTCTTTCCATTGATTTCTAATAAAATTAGGAAGTGGAGCAGATCCTGATACCATTAATCTAAATTGTGAACATGATTCAGTGGCTAATGATTGTTTTTCAGGAAGAATATTATTTTTATAATGCTGGATTAACTTTGCTAAAATTAATTGGAATATATATATTTATGACATAAAAATTGAATATAAAGAAATATAATATTATATTTTATAATATATAGATTAATATTTAAATTTTAAAAATTTTAAATTAAATTAATAAAAAATTACATTACAATAAATTGTTGGAACAGCCATGAAAAGAGTAAGATCTCTTTCTGGTCTCATAAATCTATTCCAAACTAATTCTGCATCAAATTTTTTCATCATTTCCACTGTTCCTCCTGCAAACAATGTGCAATTCAAAGCCTAATTTTTTTTAATAATAATAATATTATTATTATTGTTTATTATTTATTTATTTATTAAAAATATAACTGAAGCTTTTTTAAAAAAATAAATTAAAATTTACATTGAGAATACCCTAAATAATATTAACAAATAATTAGAATATTTAGAATATATTTAATATGACTTTTACTCTCAATTGCAAAATCAATTATTGAAAAATACATACATGCATATGATGCAAGGGTAATACATGTAGAATTTTATCTGTCTCATTATATTTCCATGCTTCAATTAAAGAATTTATTTGAGCTTGAATATTTGCATGAGTTAATACAACTCCTTTTGGTTTTCCTAACAAAAAATAAAGAAACATAAAATTTATTAAGAAATATAACAAAGATTTATCAAATTGTAAATTAGATTACATACCAGTAGTTCCGCTAGTATAAATAATCAAAGCCCTTCGATTAATATCCATTGGAAACAGTGATGGAATCTAAGTGAAATAATGATATTATCATTGAATATTTTAGATATTATTATTATTAGATTAAATACCTTAAAATCACTTTTATCATCTTTCTGCTTTTTTTTGGATTCATAAACTAATACATTATCAATTTTTGCATCTTTTGCTATATCTTTTATTTTATCATAATATTCTGGATGAACAACTATTTTAGAAGCTTGAGAATCTTTAAGAACATATAAAAGTTCTGGCGGTGGATGTGCAGTACCTAAATATATTTGTATTTAAATATAAAAATTTGTATATAAAACAAAAAATATAAATATAAAAATTGTAAAAATTACATAATGGAACTGCAATCCCTCCAGCAGACCAAATAGACCATTGAGATACAACATATTCATATCCATTAGGAAACAAAAAGGCTATTCTCGCTTCATTTAAATCTTTTTTTTTAGATTCTTTTGATAATAATCTTGTTTTAAATTCTATCATATCAGATATTAAATTTTGATATGAATTTTGAGTTCCAGCTTTAAAATCAATAATTGCTGGTTTATTGAAAGGTTGATTTCTCGCATGATTGATTACTAGTTTGAATGATAATATTGATGGAAGACCTAAGAAAAATTTATATTTTTTTAGTAAACAAAATAATTTTCTTTTTTTTTATTTATAAGGAATCATTATTGATTTTCAACAATACTCACTATAATTATCATAATTACCACAACTATTATTATGATGGGATCGAAAGAATTGTACATTAAACAAATGTTTCAATAATGAGACTTTTCTTATTTTCGTATGATGATGAAAATATAAATTTTTATACATTTTTCAAAAAAAAATTTTATGTAAAATAAGAATTTTTAAATTTATTCATAAAATAAATATATTTGGAAGCAATCTTTTTTTTTTTTTGTAAAATATAAAGGAAGACTAGAAGATTAAAATTACAAAAAGTATTCGATTAATAAAAATTTTGATGAATCCTTTTAAAGTTGACTATTTTCATTATTAAACTTAGAAATTTGACGGTCCCGTGTGATCTTCAAAATCACGTGACTTAAAATCTATGCTTATTATTGGTCTAAAATTACAATATTGGATTGAATAAATATACAGAATGGTTGTTTAATTTTGATGACAAATTTAAAAGAATACAAATTTAATTTGAATAAAATAAAATTGGGAATTTACGTGTATGACAGCTTATTAAATGTGATTCGTTAACATCATGAAACACGCACGAATGTATGCAGATCTCACACACATATTAATGTTATTAACATAAAAAACGTAAAAAAATTATTTTTTTATTATTTTTTTTTTAATTATGAAATGAATAATTAACTGGTAAATAATCGTCTATTGTAAAAGTTTCTGACTTATTGCTTCAAAACCAAAAATTATTTATTGAAAATTTAAGTTGCTCAATCCATTATATACTAGTTAGACTTTTTATTATTAAAAACTTGATTTGGGGATTAATTGCGTCGGTTGTCCCCTTACTCCTAGGTAACACCATCACATTATTTTAGGCATTGCCTTAGTTACCTATCCATATATGGAAACCAATTACTTTAACCCTCCTTTTATATATAATAACAAACTAAAGATAGCATAAAATTTGTTTTTGCATCCTTTTTCGATTTCTTTGACTGCAAGATATGCATACATGTTTCGTATATCAAACAAATTTTTTTGATGCTTAAAAAAAGTATAAATATCATTGAAACACATTAATTGCATATGTAATTTCGAAAATGAAAATAATTAGAGTTTAGATGAATTTTTTTTCGAATATAAATAGGTTATTTATTACTTTTCATATCTTATCCTTTCTTCCTTCTTTTAGAAAATTCCTCCTCTCGCCCTACCCTTTCCTTCTCTTTTTCCTCTTCCTCAAAAATAATAATTTTTCTACTGGTTAGAAAGATTATACATTTAAACATTCTTTTTCTCTTCCTCAAAATCATAATTTATACATTTAAACATACATTATACCTTTAAACTTTATACGTACGTAGTTAAAATTAAATAATTATATAATAAATCATTTTTTGGCAAAATGGTATTACCTCGCATCTTCAATCTCATTACTATCGCTTTATTTATAGCAACTCTTGTCACTTCTGTTACATCAGAGGATCCAAAACGATATATCGTTGTATTAGAACCATTATCATCTATCGCTTCTTCTTCTGAATCACATTATGAGTGGTTAAGTAATGAACTAACCAAATTTAGTATTAATAGTTTGTCATCCTTTAATGCTAAAATTAAAACTTTTTCCACTGATGGAAGTTTTCGAGGTTATACCGCTTGGTTTCCCGAAAATTTGATGAAAGAAGTAAAATCTCGCCCGGAAGTTAAATATATTGAAGCGGATTCTCCAGTGTCTATTAAGTATGCTGTACCGCGTGAAGTTCAAAATAAACCAAATCCTAACTTGGATCGTATAGATCAAGCAAAATTTCCTTTGGATGGAAAATTCACATTTCCTGACACCGCTGGAGAAAATGTTGATGTATATGTTATTGACACGTAAATATCATTGTTATTATCCTTTATTAATTAATTATTATTTATATTTATTTATATTATATTTAAATTTTATTCAATTTAATTTATTAAATCTGATTAATGAATTTAGTGGAATTCTTGTCACCCACGATGAATTTGAAACCCGTGCTAGATTTGGGGGTGCTTTCTGCGAAGGGTGCCCAGATACTGATGACAACGGTCATGGTTCTCACGTGGCTGCAATTGTTGGTGGAAAAACTTTTGGTGTTGCAAAGAAAGCAAACCTTATTGGTTTAAAAGTTTTAGATTCTACTGGTGCCGGATCAAATGCTGATGTCATTCTTGGGATGCAGTTTGTTCTTGAAGATCGTAAGAAAAGAAATAAAAATAATACTATAGTCAAGTATGTTTTTTTTTCGAATTTTTTTTTTTTTTTTTCTCTCATTAATTTCAATAAATTTGAATATTTATTTATATATAAACATATCAATTATATTATAATAATATAGTATGTCCCTCGGAGGTGTATTTTCTCAGGCTGTCAACGATGCCGCTAAATCCCTTACAGATGCAGGAGTTCACGTTGTAGCTGCAGCTGGCAATGAAGCTACTGATGCATGTTTATCTTCACCTGCATCTGAACAATCCGTTGTTACTGTGGGAGCTACTAATAACTTAGATGATGGAATAGCATTCTTTTCAAATTTCGGAGAATGTCTTGATATTTTTGCTCCTGGTTCTGATATTTTATCAGTTGGAATTACTAGTGATACTGATATTGCAGTTTTTAGCGGAACAAGTCAAGCTTCACCTCATGTTGCTGGAAATTTAGCTTTATTGATTTCCAAGAATGGTAACAAAAGTCCTGTTGATCTTACTAAGGATTTAATTGGATTATCAACAAAGAATGTAGTTAAAGGCTTAAACCCGGATACTGCAAATAATTTTCTTAGAGTTCCCGCACCTTAATAAACACAAAAGCTCGCGTAAATAAAGTATAAAAGTTATCACTTTCTTTTCTTTTTTCATTTTCTTCCTTTTGCTCCTTTCTTTGGAGAAATGTTTATCGTATAAGGGAGGAATTTTCTATTAAGAATTAAAAATTTTTAGAATGTATAAAATTCGCTCTGTGTAAATCATTGTAAAAAGTACAAATAAATAAATAACGTTTCTAGAAAAAAATTAAAATTTGTGGTACATTTAATTAATAAAAACCCCAAATTTGGATTTAAATTATATGCAATAAATATAAATTTTAATAAATGTACGTAATATAAATTGTTATGAATTTTTTCATTGAAAATTTTTATCATTCATCCTCTCTTTCTCTTTCTCTTTCTCTTATTCTCTCTCTCTTTCTATTTCTCTTATCCGCATTCCCTTATCCCTTAACCCTTTTCCATTTTCCCCCTCCATTATTATTCTTATTTCATTCTTTATTATCCATCATTATATAGATTATAAAATGGAAAATTATAAATTAATAATTAAATTAATTTTCGTCATAATTGTTATTTTTGCGTTCGCAAATCAAATCGAATCGTTAGCGATCAAAAACAAAAAAAATTGTCCAAAATTAACCGAAAGAGGTCAAAACAATACTTCTGAGACCTATATAGTACTCTTAACTAATCCGAAGGTTGAGTCCTCTTCGGTGAACGACAATAACAAATATGATGATAAATTTATTAAAGAACATTTTAAAATGTTGAAAGATTGTTTTGACTTAAATATAATTAAGCCAGGATCGACTTTTATCGCTGCCAGTCTCATTAATCCAAAAACCGTTGTGGATTTTAGTATACCGAGATGTATATTAGGGTACATCGCAAATTTGTCCGAAAATACTGCCCGTTATTTGAAAAATAGGTCAGAAGTATCAGTTATTGAAAAGGATTCTAAAATTAAAATTGCCGATGTTCAATTTAATCCTCCATCGGTAAGTTTAGTTTAATTATACTTAAAAATATACATCGTTTGTACATTAACTATATATTGATTACATATTATTTTAAAAAAAAGAATTTGGATCGGATTGACCAAGCCACTTTTCCCTTAAACTCGAAATACAATTACCCAAACCGTGGGGGAAATAATGTAAATGTATTTGTAGTCGACACGTAAATATAAATTCTTTATTCGTCCTTTCTTTCTTTCTTTTTTTTTTTTTTTTTTTTTTTTTTAATAATTTCATAAATTATATAATATATATATATAATTATATGTATACATAATAGTGGAATTAATACTAAACACGTCGATTTTGGTGGTCGTGCTAAGTGGTTTGGAACTTTTTGCGCGGGATGTCCTAACATAGATGATAATAGTCATGGTACAAGTGTAGCCTCCATCGTAAGTTAAAAAAAAATATATTATGTTTTATTTTCTATATAAGTTATAATGCTTACACCGTAATTTTTATCATAAATATTATATAACAGATAGGAGGTAAATAATTATTTAATAATATTTATTTTGACACAATTAATTAACATTTAATTATTATTTATTATTTAATAAATTAACATTTAATTAATTAATTAATTATTTAATTAAAGGAAAAACTTATGGTGTGGCAAAAAAAACAAGTTTATATGCCGTGAAGATCCTGAATAAAAATGGTAGTGGACATATGTCCTCTATCATTAAAGCTTTCAACGAAATCCTTAAATTCCACAGAAAAAACAAGAATAAAAATACTGTTGTAAAGTACGTATAAAAATAAAGAATTTATATATTCACATATATAATATATATATAAATATAAATTAATAATTAATATCTAAATATAATTTTTTACAATAATAGTCTTTCACTTGCAGGGGGAAAGTCGAATGCATTAGATTCCGCAGTCGCGACTCTCGCTGATAATGGAATCCATGTAATAGCAGCCGCAGGAAATGAATATAAAGCTGACGCTTGTGCAAAGTCACCGGCAGGATCTAAACGAGTAATTACTGTGGGTGCCTTAAACACTTACAATAATTACCTTGCTGACTTTACAAATATTGGGTCCTGCGTAACTCTATTCGCTCCAGGTAAAAAATCTTTATTTTAATTATCAAATTTATTATTAATTAATTATCATTATTTTTTAATTAACAAATCAATTAATTTATTGTGGAATTTTTTTTTTTTGTTTAAAAGGAGTAAATGTACCATGTGCTGGATTGGGCTCTTCAAATGTTATTTCTAAATCTGGCACTAGTCAGGCGGCACCACACGTCGCAGGTGCCGTGGCACTAATCATCAGCGAAAACGGAAATAGCAGTCCAGATCGAATGAAGACTCAAATCATAAATTTATCAACGAAAAATGTTATACTTGGTCTAAATTCACAGACACCGAATAGAGTGCTTCGGGTATAAATGGGGATAAAAATAATGATGATAAAAATAAAAATAATAAAAATGATATATAAAATTCAATATCAATATCATTAAATATTATGGGTAGATCTATTTGTCACCACTGGGCAAAATTACATAATTCCCTGATCCTAACCTTAACTTTGTTAATTTTGCCCAACGGTGACTATCATCAGCGGTGACAAGTATATTTTTTTTTAAATATTATAGATATTTTAATTTTTTTTTTTCAATGTATTTACGTATATACTATATTTAAAGTTAATTTAATCACTGCACAAAAATACCTAAATAATTTTCTAAAATTGTTTCCACTACTTTACATTGCCAAGCCATATCATTAAGTCCTTCATTATCTATTGCTACATTACTATTACTATTATTATTATTATTATTATTATTATTTGATAATGATATTGGTGGTGAATTAATATTATTAATGTTATTGGTTCCAATAAAAGGAGAAGAAGGAAGAGAAGAGGAAGAAGAAGAAGGAATAGGAGGACTACCCATTAAAGTTGGTCCAAATACAATTCCTAAGTTTTGTACTGTCATCATGTTAACTTCTTGATGCTGAACAACTCTATAAAGAAATATATTAATATAAAAATAAAAAATAACATTAATAATACATAATAATAATATTATAACATTAACATATTATAAATAATATCCTCCTTACCTATGTAAATGATTCATTAAATATTTCAAAGTACTATAATTTGGGTCAGGAAGATGATTTACACGATCATGAAGTTCAAGAACACGTTTCCTGTCATCCGAATTTTCTAAATTAATAATAATTTTTAAATATATTTTAATATATATATATATATATATATAAAATTAAAATAATTAATAAATGAAAACTTACTTGCGGCATTTATAAAATCATAATACATTGCGTTAGTGAAAAGAGGATCCGGTAATTCTCTAAACCATAATTTAAGTACACTTGTAACATTATTGATATCTGCTATTAATTGTTCTTCTGTTAAAAGATTAACAGATTCTGAATCTAAAAATATAGAGAGATATATATGTTATATAATTTTTTTATATTTCAGAAAAGGTAATTCAAAAAAAAAAAGAAAAGGAAAAAAAACCTACTTCTATCAAATAGAGTTCGTAATTTTTGAATATGAGATTGAATTCCTGATAATCGATAAATTCCTTTACTCTCTAAACCTAATACAACGTAAACAAAAAAAATTTAGATAAATAAATAAACATGAAATTTATTTGCTGAACATATAAAAATTTAAAATTTTTACCTCCAGTCTGTTCAATTGCTTCTGCACATTTTATTAAAATTACAGGAATTTCATGTTCATCTCTTGCCATTTGTTCAGCCAAGTCTACACCAAAAATATTTTTAGGTTTAATAATACTAATTGCTTGTTCGGACATATTATATGGGTCATATGGTATATCAAAATTTTTCACTTTTCTAGCTTTAGAACTATATACACGAATATACGAATAATAATCTTCTTCATTGTTAATTTGTTCAACAACCTTTCGTAAAGATGGACCTTATCAGAAAATAAATATATATAAATAAATAAATTCAAATTCTTTACTCATATTCATGAATTTGTTATTATAATAATTTATAAAATATTAATATTAAAAAAAAATTTTTTTTTTATATTTTACCATCTTCAGGATTAACAGGACTTATCGTTAATGCATCGCTCACCATTGTATTCTCAAAAAGATAAGCATAACGTGCTAAATGATATTGTATTCCTATATCACATTCATCAGCAGTTTCTTTTAAGGCCGTGATCATTCGTGGTAAATGTATATCATAATATTCATGACGAGATGAATTGGCAATTGATAAATGATATTTATATGTGTCATCTGATATTGCCGCTTTATTCCTGGCATCTTCTTCCATCTTTATTAACTAATTTATAATAATAATAATAATAATAATAATAATATCCTTTAATATGGAATAATAAAAATAATAATAATGATAATGTTATTATAAAATTATATATATACTTGAGTTGGTGATTTTGGTTGCTTGGAAAATATTGATTTTGGTAAAGTCTTCGGTTTGGGATTTGGAGCCAAATCACCATTCTTTTGTAATATTGTACGTTCCCAATCTTCACTATGTATTTCATATTTTAATTTTGCCTGGATAAATTTATTGAAATTATTAAAAAATTATTATATAAAAATTATTATAAAATTAAAAAATAAAAATAAAATCAATTGAAATACTTTTTCTAATGCTTGTTCAGCTTCTTGAATTGTTTTTTCATGTCTTAGACCTGATTCTTTAAGCTGAAGAATATATATAATAAATTATTAATAATAGATTATAAATAATTAAAATAAATTAAATAAATTATAAATTATAAACATACATTTTTTCGACTTTTCTCAGTGTCTTTATACAAAGCAGAAACTTCTTCTGATATTTCTTGAATCGCTGCTGCGAACTTTACTCTGTTTTCACCAATAGCTTCATGAAGTTTTAACATACTAATCCAATTTTCTCCATAAGAACTATATATTACAACAATCAAAATTTACATGAGTTAATATTATTATTATAATAAATGTATGTTATTATTATTATTATTATTATTATTATCATTCATTCACTCATTAATTACCCTTGTTTGGTATCATTATTTTCATGACTTTCTTGCATATTTTTTGCCAATTTTATCATCATTCTTCCATATTCATCTTCAATAGTTGCCCTCTTTTTCAAAAAATGGGCAGTTTCCTGAATAAAAAGAAATGATGATAATAATTAAAAATTTTTCCTAACAAAAATTCAAATTAATTAAAAAAAAAAAATAATAATAATAATTATAATAAAGAAAATAAAGTATACATGCTTTGGCCGATAAAGAGTCTTGCTTAACTCGTTCTAATGCAACTGCAAGGCCACCCTAAAATTAATTGAATTAATTGAATTAATTTAATTACTTGAATTAATTGAATAGAATATGATTTTAAACTCTATACTTAAACTCTATATATATTTAAACTCTATATATATTTAAACTATATTTACAATATGATAAATTTAGAATATATTTACGTCAATATCACAAAGCAATTTAACTAATCCAGCTATATCGTTCGATCGTTCAGCATTATTATCTGATGATGATAAACTTTCTTGATCAAAACTTTGACTTTGATTTGTGTCTACAGTTTTAATTGAATTTAAGGAAGAAACATCTACTTCCGAATTTGCTGCGGGAGTTAATGAAAATGGCATATTATTATTGTTATTATTATTGTTACTATTATTGTTATTATTGTTATTATTATTATTATTATTATTATTATTATTGTTATTGTTATTATTGTTATTATCGTTACTGTTGTTGTTGCTGTTGTCGTTGTTTTTGTTATCGTTGTTATCGTCGTCGTTGGCAGACGAAATATCTGTTAATGATATTACAAATTGTTGTTGCTGTTCTTCTAGAGTTGATGATGTTAATGATTGTTTTTCTTGAGGATGTACAAACATAGAAATTGGTCGTGAACTTCTTATGGATGAAGATTGAGGCGGTGAAGTATTCATATTTAAAGATTGCACTTTACGTTGACGCTCATCATCATTTCGTAAAAAGACATTTTCGGAATTTGCAGAATTTGCAGAATTTGCAGAATTTGCATGCATTTTTTTAAGTAATATAATTATTTTTTGTTAGTTTTATGTGCAAGCTATATCTATTATGTGCAAAAGTAAATTTTATATATATATTTATTTATTTATATTTATTTATTTATATTTATACTGCAAAAACTTTCAGGTTAGCTTTCAGGAAACTTTCAGGGAAAGTGAAATAATTGCAGTTACAGTATATATATATATATTATGTTTTACAATATTCAAATTACTCACTCACTCCAAAGTTTTTACGGTTGAACAAGGTTCCATGATCAAATCAGGAATATAGTAGAATATGCATGAACAGATCGTATCACCATAATATATAAACAGTTGTACAATAAATAAATATTTAAAGTATATGCGTTTTTATGACGATCAAAAAATATTGAGAAAATCTTTCAAAAGCAAAAAAAAAAAATATTGCACGTTGTTTGATAAAATTAAGTTGTAACAAATATTGCAGATATTGTCAGAAAAATCTTTGAAATGTCTATTGAACTTGTGATCATAAGCTGAGCTTGAATCAGATGACTGTGGATTCTTCACAAACTTTCAAGTTCAGCTTGCATCATGTACAGTTTGTATAAGTTTTATGTCAACTAATAAAGAGTTTATAACTAATAAGGTTTATTCAGAATAAATAAAATAAACGCGCATTATCAATCTTACATACATACGCGTCAAATACTATAAAACATATTTTATAGTGTAACGTTCGCATCGTCAAGGTTTTTTTTTTTTTTCACAACTGTCTTGTCATTAACATGACTTTATACCTCTCATAAATGCAAACGTGGTGAAATTGATAATGACGAATAACTTACAACAGCAAGTGAATGATGATGATGATGACTTTAAAGAAAGATAAGACAGAAAATGAGTTTGAGTGATGGTTTTGTGTTTACAGTTTTTTATAATAAATGTTTCATGCTTAAAAAGCTTTCTTGATTTCTTTGTGTAATATATATATATATATTTACTTATACATTTCTACACCGTTATTTTACAAGGTTTAAAACAGAATTTGTGTCAAAAAAAAATTGAATTATATATTATATCAAGTTTTGATTGTAAAAAATTATTTTAAAAATACTTAATAATTAAATTACTTATGTTTAACACATACTATTTTAGTCATCTCAACAAAAATTTACAAAAGAAGATAATGTTCTTTATAAATATTTATTAATAATTGATGTGATGAATTTTAATTTATGAATAAAACAATTAATACAAATAATCTCAAAAAAATAAAAATAAAAAAAAAAAACAATAATAATGAAATTGACATGATTATTATATGATAAATATATGATATTCTAAATTTGTAACTGAATAATGTGTATATAAACTATGGATAAGTCTCATAATGAAAATTATAGCAAAGAAAAAAAAAATAAAATAAAAAATTTATTTTATTTCCAACAAAACAAATTAAATATTATTAAAATATTATTAAAATATTAAATAAAATATTTAAAATAAAATATTATTAAATCGATAATAAATAAAACATTAATAAGATTTTAATAAAATTTTAATAAAATATTAATAAAATATTAATAAAATATTTAATAAAATTACTAAATATTATGATTCCATAAATCTCTTAAAGAATAAACATTGTACAAAGTATCTTCCACATATTGAAAATCTTTCAGAACTCCTTCTTCTCGATATCTTCTAATAATTACATCACAATTAATTAATAATTTAATTTCATATGGTAAATATAATGAAATTTGATTTTTGTCTCTCCATGATTCCAAAAAATCTTGTAATACTATATCTGAATATGCCCATTTAATATGTAAATTTAATATACTTAAATTTCTGGGGGCTGCTTTTTTCAATATTTCAAATATTTTATTTCCTTTATTTGATAATTCTTCTTCTATTGGGCAACATATACGTATTGCTTCTAATTTATGACATGATATAAGTAAATGATAAAGAATGTCCATACAATCTTCATCCCACCATATTGTAATAAATTTAAGTGTCGCACTTGATAATGAAAGTACTTGAAGATATTTCCTTATCTCTGAAGAATTTTTTGGTAAACTAATTGATTCCCAATAAATACGTTGAATTCTTTGTGAGACATTTTCTATAAATCTAATATAAATATTAAATGGTGTATTCTCATCCCTAAAAATATCTAGAATTTCTAATTTTGGTAAATATATATTAGCGAATTGTTCCATATTATGAATTCTTGTGGTTAAATCAAGTTGAAGAATTCTTAAATTAACGAATGATGAAAGGATTGTTGGTGAAATACAAAGACTTTTTCTAATTTTTATATATTTTAAAGAGTGCGCTTGTGTTTTTAATGCAAATCCCATTCTAGGACATTCACTAACAAAATTCTCTGATGATTTTAATACTAATGATTGTAATCCATTTTGTAATTTAATTAAAGCTATAAGTCCTTCATTATCTTCATCACATGGATAAATATTAAGTTTTAAAATGTTACGTGATATCTGAGCTAATCCATAATATAACTCTGGTGAACAATCTGTATGACATTTTAATTCACGTAATTTCTCTAAACATACATTTGCACCTGGACAATAGGATAAAGGAATTTTCGGTAATACAAGAGATTTTAAATAAGTTCGTGCCATAAACATCTTATAAAATTCTTGTTCTACTAAAGTTTCTCTATATGTTCTTGGTAAATCTGATTCATTATTATCACCAACTGTTTCCTTTTTTACAATATCAATAACCGAAGGTGATAAATATTGACAATATCCAACATAATCAAATAATGGATATCTAGAGGTTTGAGTTGAAAATACTATTCCATTTTTTTTAAAAATTTGTTTTGATTCTTCAGATAAACAAGATAAAAGTGTTCGTACAATAAATGGTCGAGGAGTTGAATCAATAAGAAGTTGTCTACTTTGCCATGGATTACTCCATAAAATTGGAACAACACTTTTACACCAAAGTCTATTTACCAACATACATGAAAATAAAGATCCAGCATCGTCATGTAAATGTTGTAATATTCCATCAAGACAATCTGCTGGAAGAGGTGGTGCCATTTTTTTAGTCAAATTGTCAAATTATCAAATTTAACAGATATAGATACAGGATTGGTCTTCTTAACTAGAAAAAAAAAAACTGTAATAACCATATTTTTATGAGAAATAATTTAGTAAAAAAAATTTTTGGATAATGTACAAATACGAAGTCATAAAAAAAATAAAATAAAATAAATAAAAAATACTCATCTATTGGAGTGAATTTTTTTTTTTTTTTTTGTTAACAAAGAGAAAGAATAAATTGAAAAATTTAATAAAATTTAATGTTTTAAAGTTGCTTGCAGTCAATATGATTAAATTTAACCTCCTAAAATTGTTGTTGTTACTATTGATATATACGGAAATTCGCATCAGAAAAAAAAAAAATACTTTATTTAGATTGACCTATGGAAAACGCAAATGTATCGATAAAAATTAGTAATGATTTCTCAGAACCTGATTTGAAAAACAATTTACACTTAAAAATAGCCAAGTTACCAAAATAAGTGTCATAAAGTTGTGCATCCCAAATAATCTCAAATAATGTAACCAATCATTGAAGAAATTTTATTATGCTACTCAACATTTAAATATTGATCCAAGGAAAAATAAGAAATGTAGATTTTAATTATTGCTTAATGTTTGTAATTCAACGTAATCACGTAACGATTGAATTGGTGGTTCTAGTATTCTAGTATTGGTCATTAATATGATATACATATGATATACATAATGTATATCCCCGATATTCGAGCAACACAACAAATTTGGGATATTTAATGTCAAAAAATTCCATTGAAAAATCGCACAAAAAACATTATTTAGAAAATCCATAATTTTTTTTTTAAAATAATATTTTATCTATATCAAGTAGTTTCTTTATTGCTAACTTTACTAGTTGACCTATATTTGTTTGTTTTTTTTTTTTTTTGTTGTAAATAATTGGCCATTGTTTTATTAAAGTAGTATTAAAAATATATAAGAAATATTTTTCCTGTTACTTTGAAAATAGTAACAAAAGATCCACTACATATATATATATATATATATATTTTGAAAATATATTACTTTTAAATGAAAAATATTATTATAATATTATTAAAAAATGTAAATGAGTCACTAAAAACAAAAAAAAAAAACAATGCTTTTCTTAAAGTATTATTAAGGAAAGAAAAAGCAAAATAAAGATAAAATTAACAATTTCCTCAACTAAGCATTTTTGATTTAATGAAATCGTTAAATCAAAAATGGAGTCTCGAAAATCCCAAAGTTACAAGACGAGAAATGATCATCCATTCAGAAACTTATTATTGAAGTAACAGAAAAGAAACTTTGTAGAAGGATAAATCTTTTAATTAATAAATGAATAAAGAAAAATATGATGAGTTTTGCAAAAGTAATGTTTGCTTAAAATAAATATATAGTTTATTTCTCAAACTTTTTCTGTAAGTCTGTTGACTTTGAAAGTTTTAAAAAATTGGAAGCTAAAATTTTGAGGGATATGAATTACTCTCATTTCATCATAAATTCAAAAAAAAAAAAAATCGATCATAAAATAATTAGCATATTAAAAAATAAACTGGAATTACAGATAAGAAGGTATCATAATAAAAATAAAAGAGAAATGAAAATATAAAATAGAATAGTATTATTTGTAATTCTTCTATTTATAATTTGCAGAATATTATTACAATAATAATAATTGATTAAAATAAATTAAATAAACTATATTTCTGATTCGGGTCTATAAACTCGGATCAACTCAGAAGTTTACTAATGTCACGCGATCTCGAAAACTGCTATTTTAACGTTAACTATGATAAAAGTTGTTCCTTGTATTCTTTTACATATATTTTACTAATATTATAATGATGATTTTTGCATTAGTTTCCAAGATATTTTACAATAAAGATATTGTATAAATGTTATATTTTCTTAAAAACTGCTATTTTAATATTATTTATTATATTAATAAAATTGTACATTTTAATATTATAATGATAATATTTAATAATAAAGATATTTTATAAAATCAGTAAACAATTTTTATAGAATTATGTTTTTTTAATACATCTACATTATGGTACATGGACTATTTTATTGATTGAATTTCATAAATTTTTATCATATGACTAAATGCAAGGGTTAGGATTAATTCAGGGATAAAAATTTGTCACCCTGTGTCACACCTGTTGAATATTAAAAACAGACCCCTTCTTTATAATATTATTATAAATTTAAAAAATTAGAAGTGCTTAAATCTAATTTTAAATTTATTTTAAACTAATTTGAAAATAAAATTATATAATTAAAGGAGGTTAAGGCTATACCTTAAATTCAATTCAGTGATTAAAGTCATACCTTTAATTGTAGATTGACTTGATTTGATTTGATTTGACTTTTTAGGAGTACTAGATATAATTACCATCAAAAAATTATATTGATTACATAAAAAAATTTAATTTGAGACATAATATGAAAATATAAAGTAATGAAATTCAATAATTAAAATCAACCCTATTTTATTGTCCATAAATATAGTTAATAATAAACATAGTTAAAAAAATAAGATTTACCAAATAGAAAAAAAATCCATCCATTCATTATTCAATAATATTCAAATGTTCACTATTACCAATAAATGTCTCTTTTCACTTTGTAAAATAAATAAATGTGACATAAATTATACCAAATCATCACCCAAACTTCCAAATATTCTTCTAATAATAGTCCTGAAATTTGAAATGAAATATAAATATATATATATATATATATATATATATTTTATGAAATGTGATAAAATTTTTAACAAAAAATTGATAAAATAATTATTATTCTTAATTTACCTTCCATATGGTATATAACTTGCACTAAAATTAAAATAATTTATTAAATGATTCATTTAAATATAATAATAATAATAAATTATGAAAACATGAATATATAACTTACCAATACCATAAGAATGCAGAAAATTGAACGAGACACATAATAAAACTCAAAATTCCTGATTTTAACTGTATAAACCAAAAATTCATAAGTTTAATAATAAATAGATAGATAAATAAACATGATAAAATAAATATATAAAATATATAATAAATAAATTACCACAAATGCCACAACCAATGTTGCTATCATTGCTCCAATAACAATCAAACTTGCAACCCATCGAACTAAATGAAAAATGAACAATGAAATCTAATAAATTAATAAAATATGACATAACTCAATAAAATGGATTCATTTTTTACCAGGGGCAAACATTGTTTTGAATTGTTTTTTAAATCCAACAATAAATCCGGTGCTTCAAAGTTTCAAAAAAAAAAAAAAAAAAAAAAAAAATTCATAAAAATAAATAATTAGTACCAATAAATTCTTTTCATTCATTAAATCATATCTTTTCATACCTTGTAAATGCTAGAATGTTACCAACAGTATATAAAATTGCGAATCCTTTCAAATTTCCAAAAGTTAATTTAACTGTTGACTGAAAAAAGGAGTTTTCGAATAATTAAAAAGAAATAAAATAAAATATAAAATATAATTCGTGGTATAATAAATTTATAAAAATTCTTTTTTTACCAATACGCTAAGGAGAAAACCGAGGAGAAGACTTTTAATGCATTATATATATAAATTTATAAATTTTGAAAAATGAATTAATTCATTCTTACAATTTTTTTTTTTTAAGATAATTTTTTCTTAAAAATAAATTTATAATAATAAATTTTTACCAAATTGCAAAAGCATAAAGTCGTTGTGTCCTTGATAATTCATCAAAAACACTACTATTTTCAGTTGTTTCTTGATCATTAGATTCAATCAAATCCCAAAACCTCATTTTGACGGTTGAAATATAATAATTATAATAATGATAATATACTTAAAAAAAGTTGAAGTTTATAAAGACTTGTACAAAATTATAGTTGTTGTACAGTTAAAAAAAAAAAAGAAATTCCCATTACAAATTATGGAAATTAAAGAAAATTTTAAAAAGTTGTATTTTTAGCTTAATAACTAAGATATATAAAATATGTATGACGTTAAAAATCTTAGAGTTATTTCAAGAGTATTAAGTATTTTTTTTTTTGTACCTGTATTTCGATTAAATCGAATCTTTATGCGCAAGTCACGTGATGATTTGAATTTTGGAATATCAAACAAATCAAGAAAAAATTAATCTTAACTCTACCCACTAAACGCTGTAAACAACTATATCGAATTTAAAGAAGAATAAAACAAGTATTATACTTGATATGATATTATTTTTTTTTTTTAGGAAAATAATGCAAAAACGAATATGTTAATAATTGTTAATATTTATTATTGTCGCTATATGAACGCGTCGTCCGTTTATTCAGGTTTTCACGATAATTTTTATACAAAACAGGTTTTTATTTTATTTTATTTTATTTTGTCTTTCATTAATTTAAATCATATTAAATCAAAAGATAATTGAAAAATTATGTAATTTCAAAGAATTCAAATAATTTTAGTTGAGATGCAGGGTTCCGCAACGAAGAATTCTGTTACTGAAAACATTGACATGGATGCGGTCAGATGGCAGTTTTATAATACTCAAAATATTACTGAACTTAGAGCTGCGTAAGTAATTTTTATGATTTAACATAAATTCGATAATCAATTAACATATTCTTTTTTATATATATATATATATATATATAAATATAGTACTACGCGATCCAGGCTGGAAACTATTAAAATGCTTAAGCTTTATAAGGAATATTTGTTTAGCGAAAATAATCCAATAAAGTTAGTCAAATGTGAACATAAATGGGAGAGATGTATGAATAAGTTGAAATTTTATGTATCTCAGATGAGAAAACATGGTTCAAAATTTACAATTTCACAAGATCTGATAGATTGTAAACTCTCAGAAATAGTTGAAATGGATAAATTGAATAATTCGATAAATAATCAAACCTCTACTTTTAATATTATTGAACCATCAACGGAAAATTCTTGCGAAATATTTATTGGCGAAAATTCTCAAGATTCAAAAGAAAAAATAAAAGAGGAAACAAAATGTCGTGTACGATCTCTTTCTAATGTAGATACCGAAAATTTATCTGAACATTCAAGAAAAGAGATTAAAAATCAAAAATCAAATAATGTTTTGGGTCCTGTTATCGCAATTAATAAAGATAATTGTAAAGTTAAACTTCCCTCAGGTAACCAAATACCGATCAACAATTGTATACATAAGAAGTCAGTGGTTCGTAGGAATTGGCAACCTTTAACATTTCAAAAGCAAGCAATTCGTTCAATTGGTCATAATCACTATGAAATATTGGATAATAAAAAAGATTGGAAAGAAAATAGTGATGGATGCATTGAGTTATTAGATAGCGATGAAGATGATAAAACTGTTGTAATTATTTCAAGTGAGGATGAAGAATCTATAATAAAGCCTACTAATTCCAAAAAACCAAATCTTCAAATCGAAATCCCAAGACAAAGACGATCGATCATTAATTCCGCATTAATTGAAATGAATCCATTTGATTTGGAAGCAAATGAAGTGAGTACTTTTTTTTACGTATTTTATAAATTTAGAAAGTTTCAATTATTAATATTATTAATTAATTTATATCTGAATGTTTATCATATAATAAATATTAATTGTAAATCATGTACAATAGTATTTAGCTCATGCATTATTAGAACAAGGTAAATATTGATAACGAATGTCAATAATTTTTCGTGTGATCATATTAAGAATGGTTTTACTATACTTTCCTACAAGAGTTGAATAAGAAAGCTCTTATTGATCGTCGTGATTATAAAATCCAAAGAGCTATAGAAATACATGAAGAATTGGTAATAAAAAGTTTTACCTATGTAAATTAATTCGGATGTTTTTTTTTTTAAAAAAAATAATTTAAATAATTTTAATTCCCATATTATTATTATTATTATTATTATTATAGAAAGAAGATTTACCAAAAGATATTGATGAATTAGCCTCATTAATGTCTTATTTGGTAGAAAATGATTTAACCCTAGATTCTGATGGAGATTCATCAACACTTAACGTTGATAAACCACTTTCGGATATCTCACAAGAAGTAATATTAGATTATAGGCATAAATAAATAAATATATATATATATATAATATATGTATAACATATTCATTTCATTGTATAGATTGATTCTCGGGAAGAAAGAATAAAAACAGAATTAGTGAGAAAGCTCAGTCAATTAAACCAATTTAGCTTTAAATGTGGTAGTGGAGACGTTAACGAGATCGCTCTCGATTATAGTAATCCTGAAGCGTTAGTAAATTTTTTTTTTTTTTTTTTTATCTTTTTAAAAATATTTGATAAATATTTTAAACTTTATATTATTTTGATTGAACAGACCTAAAGTTGCGGTGGCATACATTGCAAATTCTGATCCAAATTATAATACCATGGGCAATTTACAATTTTTGGACATGCCATATGGTAAAATGTAATTCATAAAGAAAATGAAATATTATAATTTATAAGAATATTGTCAACTTTTGTAAATTATTGTAAATTATTGTAAATTATAGGAACCGTATATAACATGTATGGCCATCTTGAAGGAGATGAAAGATCGAAACAAGGTAAATTCTTAATTTTATTATCATTATCATGTATAATAAATTTGAAGAATTTTAAGTAATAAATATTTTACATTATTTTATATATAGATCTTTGGACCACAGTGACGGATGTAAAATTTACTCCAGATGGAAAATTAATCTTTTCAGCTTCTACTGATTGTTCTATAAAGGTTTGCTAAATTAACTTTCAATAAATTTAATATTTAAATTACATGACATGATAAACTTTACAGGTAATTTTAGATATGGAAAACTTGGGATTATCCAGATTTCCATAATGCTATGGATACAAAAGGTCAATATGATAATTCATGAATTACAATATTTTGTAAAATTATATATTATATTTATTATATTTATTATATTTATTATATTATTATATATTATATTTATTGATTTTTAAAAAAAAATGTAGTGTGTAAATCTAAAGTTCATAGGATTTCAGTCTCCCCAAGACCAGAACGAGGTTCATTATACCAATTTGCTGCTTGTGAAGATTCCGGGTGAGTAGTGTTCTCGTTATTTTTGTTATTAACTTCTTTTATAACAAGTAAAATAATTTGTTCGCTTGTTAACCTAAAATAAATAGTATAGTTTCGCTTTATACCGTGAGACAAGACAGATATGGGGATTACAGTATAACTTCAACTGAATTTGTTGAAGAAAAATGGAAATATAATGAAAGTCTCCAAAACGTATCAAGTGATGTCATATTTGGTCCAGACAATAATTTAATTGCAGGATATTATGGATCTGTGGGACGAAAAAGAGGAATAATTAAAGTTTGGGATATAGGAAGTAGGAGGAAAGAATGTAAAAATTCAGTATTTCTTTCAAGTAGTGCTAGTTGTTTGGATATTTCTCATGATGGTAAGCTATTCTCGAATTCCTTTCTTTATAATCTTTATAACCATTTTTAATTATTGTTTGTTCAATAAAATTTATTATCTGGCATTTTATACTTGGAGATGTGCCTGATGAATCAATTATTCAGAATTTGTTACCGAATAACTACGTCACCTAAAGGTGGCTACTGATATTTGGAAACTGTAATTTAATTCATCCAACCAAATTACATTTGCCAAACTGTTAATTACTCTTAATTATTTTATCATTTATTAATAATTTGGTTTTTTTTTTTAATACATTCAGGAAGGTGGATAGCATGTGGAACTACTGCTTGTACAGGAGAAATTGAGGGAGATGGTTCAGTATATATATGGGATATTAAATCAAAGAAAACAATAACCAGCTTGACAAAAGAAAAGGATGCAAATGTGATTTCAATTTCACCTAATGATCAATTTATTGCGCTTGGTGGTACATCGAATAAATCTTATGTTTTTGATAAAAGGAATATGAATAAAGCTCTTCATTTGTTGAAACATAATGGTTTGTTTCTACATAAATTATATTTTCTTTTTTATTTGATTTATTTAATTTTTCATTTTAATTTAATTTTTTTTTGTTTATGTTTATCTTTTTAGATCCATGTGATGGTCTACCACACGATGGAATCATGTCTTTGCAATGGATACCAAATAGTAACATTTTATTGAGTGGAGGAAATGATTCTATCGTTCGTGTGTGGAATATTGACGTGTCATCTCGTCCATTGGTTTATAAATTTGAAAATCATGATAGCCCAGTTACCTCAATTAGAATTTCACCAGGTAAATTATAAAATATATAGCTTCAATATTGAACCAACTTATCATGTGAAGTGAACTTATCTTGTGAATAAGATTAATTTCTAAATTTAAAATTTTTTTTTTTTTTTTAAATCAAAAAAAAATTAGATCTAAAATTCATGGCTGTTGGAGTTTCAACTGGAAAGATGTATATATATTCTACCAATGAAACTCTTCTTGAAAAAGGAAAATGTCTGAAATATTTATAAGAAATTTTTTTTAAATAATGTTGCTAATGTTGCTGATATTTATCTATTTGTATTTCATTTATGAAAAAACACAAATGTATGTAATGAACCTCTTAAAAAAGGATTTTATAAAACATTTCTGTAGTATTTCCATTTACCAAAAGTTTATAGTTCAGAAACATAAAATAGAATAAATTGTAGAAAGTTTTCTTTAATTGTTTGAATTATCCAGTTACAATCATATAAATTTTTCATTGTGTTGACACTAAACAATAAAAAAATCTTTTTTTGTAAGGGCAATTATATGTATGTGATTATTTATTTTATTCAAAAGCACTATATCAACCATCTCCTGTTACAAAAATAATATTAATTTGAGCACAGTTAATTTTCTATTCTAATGATTCATACAATCTAGTCGGGAGATATCCCATATCACTGTTTGTTATTATTATATCATTAATAAAAGGCGAGGAATCTATTAAATCAACTTTCTATAACTTTATCTGCTTATTCACGATATTAAAGTATCTTTAGATATCAAAAAATTTATAATCTTGTCCAAAATCATTATATAATGATCCAACTTTTAATAAAATCCATGCTTTGCTAATTGGCACCAGTTGAACAGTTGGATTGTTTTGAACATATAAATGAAGATTAGGTGATACTCTAAACGCATTTGGTACCAAATTAACCATTCTGATTCCATTGCGTACTTCATATAAGTTATTCAATTCTCTAAAGTGGAACATACAAAGTGAACCATTGTCCCTGCGTGCAAGGTCAAAAGTGGCAAAATTTTCCATCGCTGTATAATACGCGATCCAACCATGTTGATTAATCTACGCCTCGTTTGGTGTCAATATGAGAACAGAATCTAGTTCTACATTGGCGAGTTGTTTTTCATAACTTTTGATTACCTTTTCGGGTGCATCGGGAAAGATTTTTTAAGAGCACTTGAAAGAGTCGGTAAGGAAACTAAAATAATAATATTCAATGTGTAAAGAAAACAATAAATATAGATTCTGTACATCTGTCTTTTCGGGTTTTTTACTCATATAGCTTTTAAGAATTTTCGAAGACAAAATTTCCAAAATTTTGAATATGATATAAATATTTTTACTGATTAAAATTTATTCATTAAAAATTGTACCCAGTAATTGTAATCCAAACGGGTGAGAGCAAAGAAAAATTAACACAAAAGGAAACACAAAGAGAAATACGAAAAGAAATACAAAGAAAACTACAAGAGAATTCAAGAGAGCAATAAGGTGATTTGGTTTACTCATTTTTTTGATTATAAAGATACGTAATTATTACGTAATTTTTAATTAGGTTTTAGGATACATAAATTTGCGGAATCGAGATTTTGTGATCTTTGATTTTACTAAATCAGTAGATGGCCTACCTCTATTGTAATTATATTTCTCAAAATTTGCATAAAGACAGTATTGGTGATATGTAACTACGTGGACCCTAAGGTCCCATCAAGTCTTGAAGAGCGATCCTAATGCGAATACCCCATTGAATAGGTGTTTCTTATAAAGTTTCATATTAAAAAAACCAGATAATTATTAATAATAATCTATTTTCAATGAAAAAAATTATCCTTAAATGATGCTTGTATAATTGCTGAAGCACGGGGTGGTTTGTGTTTCTCTACAGAATATAAAAACAACAAAACTCCACTTCTTTGACATTGTAATAAAAGGCATGAATGGTATGCAAAATTTGATCATATAAAAAATTCAAAATCTTGGTGTCCTTACTGTACAAATCATAGACCTCAGCCTTGAAGAAGCAAAATTAATTGCACATAGCCGAAATGAACAATGTCTTTCTGAAAATTTTGAGAAATCTAACAAATCACTTTTGTGGAAATGTTCCAGGGCATGAATGGCTCGCTCCTCTTTGCAGTACAACTACCGATTGACACTTGAGAATGCTAAACAATTGTAATCAAACGGAATGGTGTATGTTTATCTGAAAACTATATTAATTGTAAGCTTCCATTAAAATAGTGTTGTTCTAAAGGTCATTTGTGGTCTGCGCCCCTTGAAAGAATAAAAAATGGCAATAAATGGTACCCACAATGTGCAAATGAAAGTTGTTTAACTCTTAAAGATGCACAACACTCGTGGTAAAAATGGAGAATGTCTTTCTGAAATATTTATAAATAGTCGTTTACCTATGTTGTGGCGTTGTGTTAACGGCATTTATGGTCTATTCGCTTTCAGAGTCTAAAAAATTGTGGTAGCTGGTGTCCTTTCATCAGGAAATTTTAATAGGCGATGATCAATGGAGGATTTTCGTTTCTAACGAAGGGCTTCGGAGGATTTTTTGCATTTTTCAACTTCGCTCGCGATTTACAAAGTATAGAGCTATTTTCTACTAAGATATTTCTAAGATAGAAAGAAAGGCCTTGTTCTTAGCTACAAAAGTTATATGTGTTTCATCTCGGTAGCATCAATATTCGCGGAGTTATTCCGGTTTAAAGAAAAGCGTCCGTGAAAAAAATCGTACGAAAAATTTTACACGATTTTTTATGGACGTTTTTCTTTAAACCAGAATAACTTTGCAAATATTAATGTTATCGGGATGAAACATATCATTTTGTAGCCAAGAACAAGGCCTTTCTTTCTACCTTAGAAATACCTTAGTAGAAAATCATTTTATAATTCGTAAATCGCAAACAAAGTCGAAAAAAAGTAAAAAAAACGCAGAAATTTCCGAAGATATTTTTCACGTTTTTTCGAATATGCTCGCGATTTGCGAAGTGTAGAGCGATTTTCTACTAAGATATTTCTAAGATAGAAAGTAAGAACTTGTTCTTGGCTACAAAATTATATGTCTTCATTCCAATTGCATCACTATTCATGGAGGTATTCTGGTTTAAAGAAAAACGTTCGTGAAAAAATCGCGCTGGAAAATTTCACATAATTTTTCAGGACGTTTTTCTAAACTAGAATAACTCCGCTATCGGAGTGAAAACATATCATTTTGTAGCCAAGAACAAGTCCTTTCTTTATATCTTAGAAATACCTTAATAGAAAATCGCGAGCGAATTCAAAAAAAATGAAGATCTCCGGAAATTTTTGTATTTTTTTTACGTTTTTTCGACTTCGCTCGCGATCTGCAAATCGTGGAGCGATTTTTTACTAAGATATTTTTCTAAGATAGAAAGAAAGGCCTTATTCTTGGCTACAAAATGATATGTGTTTTATCTCGATAACATCAGTATTCACGGAGTTATTCTGGTTGAAAGAAAAACGTTCGTAAAAAAATCATGGAAAAATTTTTCGCACGATTTTTTCACGGACGCTTTTCTTTAAACTGAAGTAACTCCGCAAACATCGATGCTACCGAGATGAAACACATATCATTTTGTATCCAATAATAAAGCCTTTCTTTCTATCTTAGTAAAAAATCGCTCCATACTTTGTAAATCGCGAGCGAAGTCGAAAACGTAAAAAATCCTCCATAAAAGCACATTCGAGAAACGAGTTAAATGACTTAGCAGATAACCTCCAAATCTTTGCTTTGATTAAATGTGGTAGGTTTCTGGAATTCGATACCAATTGAAAAACCGTTTCGTAAATTTATCAAAAAACTATGTATAACAAAATACTCCAGTAGATGAAGACTTCTCAACAGGAATATATTAAATATATCAGACCAGAAAAATGAGTGTATATGTTAGAGGTCAACATGGTACACTTCTGCAGTATCTTATACAGGAAAACAACACACCAATAATGAAGATAGCAGAACTTGAGCTTTTAACATAAAACCACTTAATAACAAACTTTTCACAATGAAAGTAGATTTCTGTTAATATATAGGAATAATAATTGTGTATTTACGTGCTCAAAAAAAAAACAACTAATTCATTAAAAACAATAATAATAGCATTATTAGTGATGTTTGCAGTAGTAATAACAGTCAAATACAAAAGAATTACTCATAGACCAGCTAAAAATCAACTGTCCTATTGCATCCTATAATATAAACATTAATTGCAAAACAAATAAAGACAATATATTAATATTTTTAATGATATATTTAAGAAACATATATATATAATAATTCAAGATAATGGGAATTATAAAATAGGTTTTCAGCAGGGCCTTAATATGCCGAGGACAAGTTCACTTGTCAGATAGTACCATGATATAGGAATTCTGATTTTTAGCTGATCTATAAATCAGCTTCCTTTTTGTGCCGCCTATTCTTTTGTTTGACCTGTGTATGGTTTTATGTATATGTATTATACAAATGCACATGTTTCCAAAATATTTTGGATTTTTGGAGTATTTCATCTTTTGTGAAAAAAGTATCCAGTTGGTGTATTTTTAATCAAAGAATTTATCTGGATATTCAAAAAATTTCAAGTTTTAAGTAAAATAATTTTGTCTTCTATGAAAAATTATTTTGACTCTTCAAAAAAAAAAATATATTGTAATATAATACATAATGATCATTACACCAACATTTCGACTCGATTATATAGTTGACTCGTAATTCCTATCCTTACTTCATAGTTCGGTTTGACCCCATTAACCCTGATGGGGTCAACTTGAACTTATCAACACCATCGATCCCATTAACCCCATCAACTTAAATGCTTGTACCTTCAAATCAGCGGTTTGGCTTGACTTTGACCTCAGTAAAACCAATAACAACACTAGTCTATGACTTTTGTAATATTTCACGTCAATAAGTCTGTACCTATAGTTCTAAAGCTTGTATAAGTAAATTAATCATAAAATTAAAGACTGAAAATTGAAGTCGATAGTTCGACATTACTAACTTATTAATTACATTTTTTTATTCTTTACGCCTTTTTATTTTTTTAAGTAAAATTTATTCACTGCTTTAATTTTTACCTCTACTGTTTTTAGGGATCAAAATTTGATGTATGCTAATGTTATCTTGGTTTAACCAACGATAAATTCCAATAAAGATTATATAAATTTAAACAAATCCGAATAATTATGAGAAGCGAATACATTTTATTTTATTGTAAATTATCACTAACTTTAAATATGTTAAATAAGTTCTATTTAAATATATAGCTATTTAAAATTAAGGTATATAAAAAATTAAAGTAAGTAAATTTAATCTTCTGCACTAGGAACACATTTCAAATAATAACCAGGACTGGCCCAATAGCAAGTTATCTTATTGGGATTGAGGGAATTCACATCTGATTTTAATAAAAATAATCCAATCAGAATAAATACCGTTAAAGATAATATTCGAAAAAAAAAAAAAACATACCGCATTCCGTAAATTCTCTCGGTTTTGAAAACAATGTAACTTTATTTGGTTTAGTTATGGCCTTTTTAGCAATAGCAGTGCGGTGAACCAATTCATCTAGTACATCTTCAATTTCACAACGCGACATTACTAATGAAAGTTTACGATAAATATTGGACTATTGTTAAAAAAAAAAAGCAAATTTAGTAAAATCCATCGTTACGTAAACCATACGAAAATGAGGGGAAAAAGAAAACATTGATAAACACTTCGTAAATTCCAGGTTTCTGAACAATAACACTAAGCACAGCTTCAAGACAACCACGAAAAACTGACTCAATGAAATTTCCATTGATGTCATACCACATTCTAGTAGGCGCGAATGATTCGGCTGGTTCAAGATTACTTCTTTTAGAATTAAAAAAACCAGATGATAGTGGCGAATTTCCCATTAAATCATCCCCATTATCAAATTCCACGCTTTCGTAAATTGCATGTTTTCTAGATCGATAGATGGGAGTTCGCTGTGTATTAATCAACCAAAATCTCGCATAATTACTGCAGACAATTCTATCGGCTTCATATCCAACTTTCATAATTAAACTTGGTTTATTTGATTCCAGTAACGATACGTATCGCAAAAATTTATCTTCAGAAAGGTCCACACGTTCCTTTTTATATAAAATAAATTATTAATCACTTGTATATTAAATATAATATAATATTTAATTCTTACCTTCAATGAAATATTGGGTATTCCGATTTGACCCACCATTGAAAGAGTATTATATATTTTACGAAGACCAGACTGAGTCTCCGCATCATGTTCAGAAAGTAGTTTCTGAAAAGCAATAAGAGCCTCAGGTTTCGTTCTCAATTGAGGAATTTCAAAGTCGGTGGCTTTTTTAAATGTCAATAAGGATTCCTTTTGCACTGTTTCTCCTAGGTTTGGTTCATTTGATTTATCTCGTTCTTTCTCATAATCATCAGTGATTTCTTTAGTATTATCTTTGGAAGATATTTTGACATCAAAATGAAGCTTGGCAGGATCTATATATTAAAATTGAAAACATGTCGATTTATAAGATTATAGATATTGTAAACTCAAAATTATTTAAATTTTCGAATTTTTCTTACCAATTTTTCTGCTTCGATGATTCGGAATTATGCAAGAAGTGAATAAGGCTTCGGTTTTATAAGCAGGAGCGAACGAGATCTTTGAAAAATTGATAAATTAAAAGAATTATTTCTATGAATAAAAATGTTTAAAAATTGTATATTCCAAGATATGTTATTACCTTTCCAGAAGAAAACAGATCTAATATACAAGCCATGTCACCGCTGTTTGCAAATTGATCAAAAATTACCGAACACTTAAATTTTTTATAGAAAGCAACGGCTTGTGAAAAAAGTCGATCTGGTAAAGTCCCCGAAATGACGGAAAGGAATCTAAGAACAAAAAATCAAATCGTGAGATAAAAATTTGATGTTTAAAAATAAAAAACTTAAATCAGAAAGTATTTACTTGTCAGAAACGTGATATCCTCTTCCAGGCACTCTTCGGTCATTTCCACCTTTTACTCTAACAATTGCTCCAATTTCGTTCAATTTATTTATCGCATGTGTCACAAGTGAATCAGGATACGAATTAAGAATCGAGAATGCATGTGAAGAATCGTATTGATCCTCCGGTGTCAAAAGAATCATCTATATAGAAATTTATACAAATTTTAATATCTATTATTTAAAATAACAAAATCATAAATTCTTAAAGAATACCTTAATTAATGCCTGGATGCATTCAAGTTGAATTTCTTTATCATCGACATTTAGTTTGGCATGATAATCGACCAATTTATCATAAGAAATGCGACAGGTGAATGGATGTGAATAGAGTGTGGTAAACTTTTGTCTCAGAGAACAGCCTGCAAGCTTGTCTTCAAAAAACAAATCTTGATAATGAGATTGAGAAGTGTATTTTTCTACAAAATTCTTTTGCAATGTCTGAACATCAGACGGAAGTGGGATTACTGGATCAGGTCCCAATCGTTTGCTATCAGTATATAAGAAAATATATATTTAATTTGAGAAAATATATGAATAAAGAAAAAAATAATAAATTATGAGTAACTGACTTTGGAATATTTTTCAATGATCTCATAAAACATTCCACAAATCCGGGCAAATCAAAACTTATCATTTCGGTGTCGTCCTCGTCTACAATTTCACTATTTTTTATTGCAATTTTATATATCTTTGGCCACAAGTTCAGCAAGATATTAATGCGCTCTTGCACAGCAGCATTCTTGCATAAGACATTTAACCTGCGACGACACATCTCATTTGTTTTATTCGGTAACACCTTGGTTGCAGCACCCCATAGGAACCTAGATTTTTGTGCCCGAATCCTAAGAATGACATATGAAAGAAGAACCAGTTCATCTTCGTGGTGATTCCAAACAGGCCTTTGGCGTTTTACGAAAGTTTCATATTGAGTCTCAAACCGTTCTAAATATACATAAAAATAAGATAATGGGTATATTACATTATTAACAAACTCAACAAAAAAAAAGATTAATTTATTACCTTCATCAGCAATAATCGGTAAATTTTCTTCTTCAGCAATAGTCTGGCTATCCGCCAACTCCCTTTGCTTAAAAAGTTCCCGATGACTCTTACGTCCAGATTGAGGGCCCAATGTGTCGTTGGCTTTTCTTGCAACTTTGTGAACCAAAGTTTCTGATTTTCTTTTTTTGAATGATGGTTCCCCATGAGCTGTAGATACAATACCAGTAAAGGTTTTATACTTGTTAGCAACTCTACGTCGTCTTTCTCTTTGTTTAGCTGCCCTTGCTTCCCGATTTTTCTTTTCGAAGCTATCTTCAATGCGTTTGAAATAAACTCGTACACGAGTATAAGGTAAGCTACATTCTTGCGCAATTTGACGACATAACACTTCATCATCATAGGGCGTTTTTGATTTTCTACGGTCAACATAATATTCGAGCCTCTTCTTCTGACGTGATGTCAAAGGATATCCAGCATTCCAATTACGTGATGAAGTAATGAATCTTAAGGGATTTGATTCTTCGACTTGCAAAATTTGTTTTGGAATGTCAAGAATTTCTTCGTCACTACCATTTTCTTCATCGCTTTTAGTTGTTGTCTCGGCCATTTTTTGTTGTGCGACGTATTGTAATTCACTCCAATAAATTGTAACGTCTTCAATTGTATCGAGCATATATTCTCGAATTATTGGTCTATCAGGACCTGAGACAGAAAAATCAAACATTGGGACATGACGTAAAAGTTGATATGCTGGAGCTAAGAGAGTTTGTGGTGGACTACATGCTGTGGCATTTTTACTTGACCATTCGGTTGGATCAAATTTTAAATTTTCTGAATCCTCATCTCCGATATCCAAGACAGGATCACCGCTTTCGTTGAACACTCGACGAATAGGCTTAAGGATCCGCAAAGCTACAAGAATATCGATCAACCTTTTCAAATTTTGTCTAAATTTATAATTCCCCGAGAACAATGAAGCACGTAATTCGCTTGGAAGATCGATGACACTAATATCCATGCTTTGTCCAGAACGAACGTAATCAGTCAGGACTTGACTTGGAATTGATTGACCAATAATTTTAAGATATAGATCAAGCGGGAGATCACGAATCAGAATTGCTGTATGAAAAGTTCTCAAATTCTTATCAATGCAATTCTCTTCGGATGAAGAATTATTAATTTTATTAATCAAATATTGGTGAAGTATTTTTGCACGAATCATCTTAGCATTAATCCATCCATAACCACGTGCTGTATGAAGCCACCACATTTCACTAGATGTTTGCAGATTTTTGTTAATACGATGTTCAGTTGAAACTTCCTCGGTCACAGTAGAAATCATAAGAGTTTCATATGATTCGGGATTATTAGTAACAGGATCGGAAATGGAGGATAAGTCAAGTGAAATAGTCGCTTCACCGGCTGCAGCTTCAGCAGCAACACGTCTTTGAAATTCTTCAAGAGGTTCGACCTCAACATCGACTTCTTCTATTTTGGATGGTTTAAATGATCTTCCAATAAGTATCGCTCTATCTAACATTTTGGTAACATATTCCTTTACTATAGGGCTTGAAGGTGTTAAATTTGGATGAAGAAAAAGAAGCTTGGAATTGCTGCCGCCATTTAACAAAGGTAATGATATATTATACGTTTTAAGTAATCCTTTTTCTTCCATAGCAGCAGCAGCTCTTTGTAGAGTTTTTTTATCGATAACATGTGGTGTAGTCGCAACATTAGACTCTTTGGCCAATGTTTGTTGATATAATTTAATGAGTTCGGCGCTAAGTTCGATAACTTGATGTTCTTCTAAAATCCGTGTAAGAACTTTTTGTCGAAGTGCAGCTGTAATTGAAGCAGGTGTAATAACCTTTCTTTTTTTACTTGGCTTCGGTTTTGATGAACTACTCGAAACCTTTTCTGTTTGTCCCTCGTCGTTAGGATATTTTCGTTTAGAAGGACTTGGGGTATCGACTATGAATAATTCTACCTCTACTGGGTTGTCATTGTTACCATTGTTATCGTTCTCGTGGAATATAGGAACCTGATTGTCCTGATTGTCTTGATTGTCCAGATTGCTATTGATGGGTGATGAGGTACCTTCATTAGAAATGATCTCAGTTCGTAGCTTCTTTGCAGAAAGTTTCTTACTTTTTGTACTTTTGGGTCTTCCACGTTTACTTTTAGGTTTAGTAGACCCATCTGTAGAAGTTATTGTTTCAGTTTTCCGAGGTCTTCCCCGTTTTCTCGGTACAGTTCGCTCCACATCAACAGTTTGAGTGTCCTCATGAAATTGTACCTTTTTCTTTCTTCGACGTTCTCTAGTTTCAATGGGTGGCAAAAAGTCTTCATCTTTTTCAGGTTCACCATCTACTAATTCTACCCCCCACATAGGATCATGCAATGAAACGATCAATGGTGAATGTCCTCCTTCGTTTTCATTATCCACCTCTTCTAATTCATCCCCCGCTTCTAATTTCATTCCATGATTAAGTGAAAATTTTTTATAACCTTGAAGGGGGAAATAACGATAACGCCTTTCTCGTCCTTGAAATTCGACTGCCCGTTTAATTGCAAACCGATTCAAATTGACCGGCGGGGGCTTAACAAGTCGATCAAGAATTTTCGTCAAAATACGGTGGTTCATGTTGTTAAATGCACGCGTAATTTCCTTTGGTAACGTTGAATATAAAAATTATATTGTATAATGATCTTTTGATGCGGATTAAAATCAATGACGAAACATTACTCAATTACTTACTCCCGCACACATTCCATTTTCTCCTGAGGACTGTATTAACTGATAAACTTGATGTTCCAATGGTAATTCAGCATATACTCCCAACTGATTACCACTGTCATTCACGTAACGATCCTTTGAAGAACCAGAGATTTCTGATGTATTTCCGAAATTTGAAGTATTCTTTCCTATATCATTAAGAATATTTTATAATATCATTAATTTTCATTGATCAATAGAAATCCCCCCAAAAATCTATAAACTACATACCAACGTCGTGGTCCTTTCCTTCATACATAGCAACAAGTCTTAAACATCTGTCTACATGCTTAGAATTTTTTCTCGGGACATTTACCTTCTCAATGTAACCTTGATCTACCAAATTTCCTACAGTCCTATTAAACCAACGACGTTGCTTCTTTGTTGGCGATTGAACTCCAAACTATATTAAGAGATTGATTAGTTGATTGGAAATAGTCTATACAAATGATAATGCATTTTGGCAGGCAAAAATTTGATATGACTTACTAGTGCAATCATCAAATCTTTTGCCATCATTATTTTATTTTTTGCTTTTCCGAGGATTTCAGTAAATCTACCTTTTATTAGCTCTGAATTAAAGGAAACGCCTTCACTTATAGTATCTGACGGATCAAATAGGTGTTCGGAAGTTTGTGAATTTGTTGCTGACAAATTATTATTAGTTGGAAGATATACAGATTTCCCAGAATATGCCGGATTTTGGTCAGCGCACTTCGTGAGAATGCATAAATTTGTATAAATTCCTTTGGTAACAACTGGCAATTTCACTCTTAAAACAAAAAAAAATTAATAAACGTAATTATAAAATCAAATTAGCGGTAAGAATGATGACAAAGAGTTATATTATCACGTACATTAGTTTTAAATCGGTAAGTACTTTAATATAGTGAAAGAAAGATCTTGGATTAATCTTTAATAACTTTGCCAAGTCAGCTTGCGTGGCACCAATAGAACGTGTTCTTGCAATATGTTGTAAAATATTGTATGCGATCGGTGATAGATTACGGGTTGGCTGTGTAACGAAAATAGTAGTTAATAAAATGAATATTTAAAATAGATCCAAGATAACGCGACATACATCTACAGCACCAAATATGATTCGTTTTTGGTATTGCGGCGTAGTTTTCATTCGAAATTCATCTCCGTAAGTACTTATTACTTCAAGCAAATTCATAATATAAATTGTTGATTTTTCTAGTATCTGCTGTTGTGACTATATTGAGAAAAGACTTAACATTAAAAAGATGTTTGTTATAATAATTAAGAATAACATTTATTACTTACTGAGTTTATATCAGAGTCTTTTGCAAGGAAATAAATTAGTTCTGGACTATTCACAAATTGTAACCAATAATATTGCTTAAAGAACTCATCGCAGTAGGGAACTTCCTGAGTTGTTAAAGATTTTAAAGACGAGGGTATTTCATTTTGTGGATCGTCATTCTTATTCTTAAATTTTTGATCAAAAAAATCTCGAACAAATGTCCATAATTTTTCTAAAGGACAACCTGTATTATAAAAATGGATTTTAAGTAATTTGTATTGCCATTTTTTAATATCATTAAATAACAAATTATAATACCTAACTCTCCTTCAAGGGCGATTTCTTCTAGACAATGAACTATCAGATCGTCGAGCATTCTAAGAGACATAATAAAGGCAAAGTTCATAACAACCTTGATATTTAAAGTTTACTCAGCAAAAAGTTATAAAGAAATGAATATTATATCTACAAACCTTGATAAGTTTATCTCGACAAATTACAAGTCCTGATAGTGTTCGAATAGTATTAATAAAATGTGTTTATTGATGATCTCTTTTATGTGTAGCACAGGTTGGCTAATCCCACGTAGCGGGGAAGAATTTATTGGTTTATTTTCCCGGAGTGGTGTCTTATATGACATCATGATGGAAAATTTATGACTTATCACAAGTTTTATTCAATGTATGTATTTAATATTTATTTAATATAACGATAATAAACAAATAAATATTTAATTTAGTCGACCGTTTTGATAATCTTATTAAAGAAACAATCTCTAAATGAATATCATTTTTCTATTAATTTAAAGCTATGATTTGCACGTTTCTTGAGTTTACACTAGAACTGGAATTAATTCAATTTTTTATGGCAACCATATGCCCAACTTCTATCTTTAACTGTTGTTGACTGAGATTCACCTTCAAAGGAATTCAATAAATAAGCAATTAAAAGCAGGGAAAATATGTATAGCTAAACTAAAACACTATACTAAATATGCTATTGTTGGATGGGTTATACTATAAAGGATGAATAAATATGAAGGTTTTATAAATACAGATTTACTCAAAAGAGGCTAAAGGGGTGAGATTTTTATAAAAGTGTATATCACTAAGATGATATTTCACTAAGCAGAGTCACTAAGACAGGTCACAAAGACAAAACTATATTATAAAAGTCATGAAGACAAAACTATAACAAATCTAGTTACAAAGACAAAGGAATTCACACAGAATTATAACAAAGTTTTAAACAGAAACTATACAGTAGACAAATTCACTAAGAATTTAAGGATGTCACTAAGACTAAGAAATAATTCACACAGAATTATTGTAAATCAAAAAGAAGTTTTATTAATTGTGAGTTTTTGAACTAAGAACTTACAAGAACTGGTAGAACTGAAAACTGAAAAGAAAGAAATTTAGTCATTTATATATATATATTTGAAGTTATAATAGATTACACTGTAGATTATGCTAATGCATATATTATTAATTATGCTGATGTATACACTATCTATTCTATCTACTATGCTGTTTAATTATACCTAGGGGATAGTTAATTTAACAGGAGGCCAACTTATGATTACACATATATATTGATATATATATAATCATCACTAAATCTGAAGCTATATATAAATTAATAAGTAATAATATTAATCTTTAATGATATTTTTTTTTTTTTTTTTTTTTTTTTTTTTTTAAGTTTTGACAAGGCTTTGCCTCAAATTTATTGACTAAAAAAAGAGAAAGTCTCCTACATTAATATTACATAATATAAGATACACA